CTCTTTAGCCGGATCTCGGCGATTAATGTTGTGATACTATTACCACGCGGTGTTGTGTTTGATCAAGCTCGTCTTAGGAATCTCTAAGAGCATCTTATAAACGGCTTACATAGCGTTCGGCGCGCGAGAGAAGAAGCCCAATCCTTGTTTTGTATAACCCACTTCGCTGCCTTTCTTTGTCACGCCTCTACGCAGTTTTTAAAATCGGTTGTGGGCCCCTTTGACTTTATCCAAGCGTCTAGAACCAATAATCCCGTAGCAGTAGGCCTGCGAGAGCATCTTGCTAACTTCCTTAAGTATATTAGATTAGCAAACGAGCTAATCCGATTTGCAACTCTGGTTATTGCGTCGAGCTTCTTTCTTAACAGTTACCTACTAGGTGTCTATAGTGCGTTATCTTTCCCTTTCCTAATAAGCTTAAACTAACATACAGGCTAGCGTTCTGTCTAAAAAACGTGTTTAAATCTCTCTACTAGTTATCCCTAACTAGGGTACTTAAAAACAAGGTTATTAGATTTTATAAAGGCTTTATTATTAGCGTAAGGAGCTATTTTATTTAATACGTCTAGCAACTAATAAATAAGGCGTAGTTCACAGCAAAGATGCATCTTAGCTTAGTAGGCAGCTATAAGAGACTTTAGTAAAACATTCAAAGTAGTAGTATATACTTATTATACTTAAAACGTAGGCCTTAGTATAGCCTCTTATATAGCCACGTTATTTACAAAAACTATATTCTTATATTTTTAAAACCTAAAGAGGGTGATCCTTAGCTTTTTAGAATTCTAAAGTGCTTTCTTTACAATGCTAATATACTAAACGTAACTATAAAGGTGCATTCTCCTATAGTAGGCGTTAGGGTCCTTTGCATCGACGGCAAGGGTGTTAGAGGTATAGTGCTACTAGCATTAATAAAACAGATATAAGATAAAATTAACCTTTCTATTCTATTTTAGCGGTTTTTTAAGATAGCCGTTAGAATTAGCTTTAGTATAGCAATTCTTATTTAGCTATAAGTTTGTGCTAACTACTTTCTTAAGAAGTCTAATCGCTATAGATATATTTATTAATAGCAGCACTATTAAACAATTACTTAAAAGGTTTAAAAAGCTAGCTAAACTAGCTTTTAAGAGAAGAGGAGTCCTAAGCGTTCTATAGTTACCTTACGTTATAAGGCTCTTAGTATTACGCTTTGTTAGCAGCTTGTATCTCTTCCCTTTATTACTACGCTTTTTTAACCTACTTCGATCGTATTTAGCTAATAGGCTATACCTATCTAAGAACATTAAGAGAGCTCTTAAGGAAGCATTTAGTATAAGGGGCGTCTTAGACGTTTTACATGCCACCTTAACTAGGACTCGTGTCGGCTTGCCTGTAGCCACGGTTAAAAGCAAGCCATCCTGTTGTATTTTTACAAATTACAACGGCGTCGGCGAACGCGCTAAGGATCAAGGTATTTTAAGGGCTTTCTAATGTCTTGTATCGAGATTAGATAACGTTTTGCACTAGACCCCGTATTAAAGCCAAAAGATAGATTTGGAAGAGTACCTTTGTAGGAGATGTAGGTTATCGATCTATTCTGCCCCTGGCTGTAATGCTAATACTGCATAGTGCTCGTGCCGCATCTGCTGCCCCAGGGTATATTTACATTGTCACTCTCTCACTCTTTCTTCTACACTCCGTCTCACACTTCTCCTAGATTTTTCCCTCCGAAGAACACCCGCAATGTAGGCACATTTCAGGATGCCAGGCCGCTTGAGAACGATCCGCTTATATCAGCACTTTCCGAGGTAGCAGCCATTTCCCCACCCCTCGAGGAACCGGATTTTATCGTCTCTCTTGGTACTGGAGAATCAAGACAAAGCAACGACACTCTGACGGGCCCTTCCCGCAACGTCTTGAAGAACGGAGCATTCCCGAGACTCTACCGGCTATTTTGTGAAAAGATGCGGGACGGGAAAGTAAGACAGGCTTTTCGGACACACCCCAAATATCATCGTCTTAACGTTCAGTTTAATGGTCGCGAGCCAAGGTTGGATGATGTGCTAAGCATGTCAGACTTAGCGTCGAAAGTCCAGGATGATGAGACCCTTTCTAGTATTGTTAAGGATATTGCGCGCTGTCTAATTTCATCTCTATTTTACTTCGAGCTAATTTCCATGCTACGCGTGGTGAATGGAAGGCAGTTATGCTTGGGCCATATTTTGTGTTCAATACAGTCTAAGGAGCCGGCATTTCCGATACTAGTTGATCGTCTAATAAAGAACTCGGCTCAGTTTTGGATAAACGGTTCCCCGGCTATCGATATTAATATGTCTTGTTTCGATACTAAGAGATGTTTTAGAAAACAGATTGAGTTGCACGTTGGCAACAGATTTTCTATTACCTTGAAGCAAGATATATCGGGACCCTGCTATATTAGCGGTTCTCTATTTTCTGTAAACATGTTAACAGTACTACAAGGCTTCTATTCTGTATTTAGAAGGCTAGATTATTAGAAGCAGAGGAATCTTAAGCTATCCTCTGTCCCTGTAAAGAAAACACGGAGACTTTCTGGTATCTAATAGGACTAGTCTATGTGCTGTTTAAAATAAATTAATCCCTTTTGCCGTTGTCTCTTTTAGCTATCTATAGAGTTTTAAGAACAAAATACAACGTTAAGTTAGAGATCTATCCTTTAATTATGCAGAAAAATATTAATATAAGAAGTTAAAAAAAAAGGGTTCTACACATAAAGATGTTTCTTAGTAAGGTAGAGTTTATTTATTCCCCTCTTTTATAAAATATACTTTTAAGCAATACATTTCCTTTCTAAGACGTAAGAGTAGGTTCTAAATATAGAAATAAGTTTGTTTCTATTAAAAGTATTCTAGATTGTAGGATTAGGCTCTTAACTTAGGCTAAATTATTAGGATTTATCTTATAACCGTACTAGGAATGCCTTAGGCGATTATCCGCTTCTACACTCTATAATTAAAGCCTTTAACGTACACTTCTCTAGTAATGCCTGCCTTTAAAATATAAGGAAAAGATAACTACATAGAAAAAGAAAAGATATTATTATTTTAAGGGATTTTCTCAACATATAGCTACAAGATCAACTAGATACCATTGCTTAAGTTTTATACATTATCGCATATTCCACAGGCATATAATTTCTCTTACTACTAATGCTTTAGGGTTAGCATACAAATAATTTAACACAAGGAACTATAATGGCTCGTATCACCTGCCATACAAACCACTCTAAGGACGTGGCCTAGAATTCTTCGCGGTCTATACACGGGATGTACTGGGCTAGGCAGAAGCAGACATCCACAGGAATCCATCCTTTTCGTTTAGTCTTCCTAAGAACGGGCCGGAAGGTTCGGATCCTATGCTGCTTATTATTCGTAGATCGATGCAGGCAGGGCACGTGAAAAAATATGTAGAGACCCAGGGTGAGGCCTACGGGTATATAATAAGAGCATTCGTCCACCTCTTCGATTTTTTCTTCTTCTTCCTACTTATCTAAAACACACCCGTGGACATCCATCAAATTTTCCCTAGCTTCTCCGGCACGATGATGCTTATAAATCCCTTCCTACAAGGATATGACACTAGGATTATGTCTGGTTCATTGTCTATGGCGATCGAGCCGTTTCTTTCATCTCCTGTTGAGGATGGATTGAAACCCTGGATCCCTTGTTGCACCCTTCGTCTTCAGCAAAGTGATGAACACATGGACGTGAGTGCAGATGAGAGAACAGATACTGAGCAGGTCGACAACGATGGCACCCTCGACGACTTGACATTTTGGCTACATGAAGTAGCCCAACGTACCTTTAGTATCTGCACCAGCGATGGCAGCACAAGTTTACGGCCAGAAGATACTTCCTTAAAGGGTTTTATTTTAGCTTACTTTAGGCCGGTATAGTTAGGATTAACTTCGTTATTTAAATTTTATGTATATAACTTAGATAATAGCGGAATAAACAACAACATTCAATAATATAAGTCCGCTACCCCTTATTTAAACTACCCCTCCTTTTAAACTACCCTAGTATGTACTATTTATATAGTAATTATATATAAAAGGTATATAGCTTAATATATACTTATTAAATTAAATAAATTTATTTTTATAAAATTCTTAATAATTTATATGATTAAGCTATTTTAAATATATATTTAGTATATATTATAATATAGTTATTTTTTATTTATTTTTATTTTTAAGTTTAAAATAACTTAAATGTTTTACTTATATAATGCTAATATAATATTAATAGTACTAATAAAAATGTTTTTAAAGCTTAATTAAAAATACTATAAATATATAAAAAAATATACTTTAATGTAAAAAGTAATATATTATAGCTAAAAAAAAATTATTATAATGTTATTATACTTATATATTTAAGCAATATAATATTTACTATATAAAATATAAATAGTATAGTTTAAGCTTATATAGTTTATAATACTATATAAACTTATAGTATATATATTTATATACTATAGTAACTTAAATAAATTTCTTATATATTTTTAATATTTTATTATCTTAGTTTATTATAAGTTTTAGTTTTCTATACTATTTAGCTATAAAAATATATAAAAGTAAATAACTTATTATATAATTAAAATATTAGCTTATATACGTTAAAACAATATATATTATAGCTTATGTTATAACAATATACTTTTTATATTTTTTTTAAAATATTTTTATTAATTTAATAAGTATATATTAAGCTATGTACCTTTATATATAATTACTATGTAAAAGGTACAATATATGCATATTAACAGTGGTCTAAAAGGGGGGGGCGGGGTTTAAATGAGGGGTGGGGGACTTAATCTCTATCTCTATTCTACCCAGCACTGGTAAACTAGACTAATGCACCAAGATTTACGCAAATTGTAAACAGAAGTTATTCGATACAATAGGCGCACTAAAAATGTATAGAGTTACCCTTTTCTTTTTATCTCTTAACCTAAAATCACAAGAAGATACATCAGATGCCAATTCTGAAATCAGTAGCTGCCTGTTGGTTCCGGGTAAGATCCATGTTGTCCGGGCCGAACCACTTTGCCCTCAGAGATGCTATCGGGCCTTCTAGCTCGGTATACTTGTCGCCCAACGTCAATATCGTCCTCCCATTCCACCGCGACGGTTTCTTTGAGAGGTTAATGTTATCCTTGCCGTACAGCTCGACAATCTGCGGCTGGGTTGCTACGGCAGAGTAGACAACGGCCAGTCCGACAAACTCAGCTGAGCTCACGGGCAAGCCAGCAGCAATAATGGGGTCTGCTAGATGTTGTGGGAGCAGGCTGGTGATTGTGGCCGCCGGGGCGACACAGTTGATTGTGATATCCTCGGCCCGAAGGGAGGAGCGCAGAGAGCGCATCATACCGATAAGCTGACCGAGGTGTTAGCTGTGCGAATGATGTGGCTTTTCCTGCAATATGTTCCTTACAGCTACTTTGCATGCACTGTATATGGGGAGGGACTGCTCTGGAGAATAGGCCGTCGCGCTGGATGTAATCACGATGCTACCGGGACAGCCCCGTCGCCGGAAATGGCTGATGGCCAGCTTGGTCAAGTTGGCGACGGCGCGCATATTCACGTTCATGACGGCATATTTGGGCTCAAGCAGATCTCCGGTCGTTTCGTCAAAGGTGTCGGCAAAGTAATCCGTCTCTTCGGATATCCCAGCGTTGGAGACAGCAATGTCAACGGTACCAGCATGCTGGAAGGCATCCACGAGACTGGCCCACTTAGAGATGTCGCATTGCCTAAATTCGACGCCCTGCGGCTGTTCACCAGGTGGCGGGTTGAGGTCTAGGTTGAGCACATAAGCACCTTTCTTGGCGAATATGTGTGCGGCGCTGAGGCCGATGCCTGATGAGGCGCCTGTAATGATGACGCGTTTGCCCTTCAAGTTTGGGATGTCATCTATGGTAATGTTTAGAGACGCCATGATGTATTGTAACCTGAGAATTCGCTGTCCAGAATTTAATGAAATTGGGGGTAATTGGATAAGCTGGTCAACTTCTGTTTCCCCCAACCTCCTTTTTACTTCAAACACCATCGTTCACGCACAGACGCGTCGACCTGCGTTTGATGTAAGTGAGCTCAACGCCGGCATCTTGGACCGGAAATTTCCTAAAAAGGAAACACCCGAGATGTTGACGATGAAAACAATTATCAGTAAGTTGGGTAAGTCCCAGAAAGAGTGACGCAATATGGGACTGAGTGAGTAGGATGATAGTTGTAGAAATATGAATATATCAAGGCTAAGACGGACCATTTTGTTGTAATCCATAAAGCTCTCATATCCCTCAACATTAATATATCCTATGCTACCACGATCCCATAAACTCTTCACAAATCAAAACACAAGATGCCTCCGTCTGCCTTGCCCGACTTCGAAGGGACTCCTGTCTTCATTGGGAAGCAGGCTTCCTGGAAAGAAAAGCCCACGGACATGGCTGCACCGACAGTCTCTATTACTCGTCCTGTGCAGACCTTCAGTCCACCCCTGTCCCGTTTTATTTCAATGTGCCACCCCCTTGAGAAAGAGATCAAGGCCGAAGTCGACAACTATTTCCTCACCCACTGGGGGTTCAAGACGGACAAGGAGAGAAAGAAGTTTGTTGGTGCTGGCTTCTCCCGTGTCACTTGCCTGTACTTCCCGTTGAGCAAGGACGACCGCATCCACCTTGCCTGCAGGCTCCTGACCATTCTGTTTCTGGTTGACGGTATGTTTGCACAATCGACGTATACGGGATATTTGTGAACTCATCCCGTTGCAGATATTCTAGAGGACATGTCTCTCGAGGACGGCCGTGCCTACAATGACAAACTTATTCCCATTGCTCGCGGGGACGTCCAGCCGGATCGGTCTGTCCCCGTCGAGTGGATTATGTACGACCTGTGGGAGATGATGCGAGCCCAGGATAAAGAACTGGCGGATGAGGTCCTGGAGCCGACCTTTACCTTTATGCGCGCCCAGACGGACAAGGCGCGATTGTCCATCCGCGGCATGGGCCCATACCTCGTGTACCGTGAGAAGGACGTCGGCAAGGCGTAAGAACTCTTCTTTGGGGAATAGAACAATGCGGAATGAATATGCTGACAGTTTGTGAATAGCCTTCTCTGCTCTCTGATGAGGTACTCTATGGGCCTCTATGTCACCCCCGAAGAGCTGGCGTCAGTCCAATCCATCGAGCAGAATGCCGCCAAGCACCTGTCTGTTCTCAATGATATTATGAGCTGGGACAAAGAGTATGCGGCTGCTCAAACAGGCCATCCTGAGGGGTCGGCGCTCTGTTCAGCTGTTCAGGTCTTGGCGGATGAGACGTCTATCACGTATGACGCTGCCAAGAGGGTCCTCTAGCCCCTATGCCGTGAATGGGAATATGAGCATGATCACCTCGTTGATCTGCGGAAGCAGAACAGCGAGTTTCCCCCAAGTGATAACTTGCTTCAGTACATCCGGGGACTTGAATACCAGATTAGTGGAAACGAGCAATGGAGTATGACGACACCGCGGTACAATTCTCTCACTACTGCCACCGCCGCGTAGGGTCATTGTATGATTCCTACTGAGGAACACCGCACATTATCAAGTGTTGAACATGAGTTTCTTTTTCTTAATTTATTTATCTTCGGATTAGAATGGAAGAGAATAGACTAGGTATTTACTCTTAAAAAAGAAGCTTGTGCTTTACTAGATAGCGTGTTGCCAGCCAATGTGCTGAATCCAAGTAGCTTTTGAGTTCTACGAGAAGGGTCGGAGTGCATCGGCAGTTATAATCGCAATTATGGTCCACGCCCCCTGCAAAAGAGTGGAATATAAAACAAACGAAAGGGGGAAACAAGGGAGATACTACATACGGAACATAATGCAACAGAGAGAGAAGCTGTACCAATTGGTAATTCTCCGAAGTGAACCTTACCGCTAGGGATCCGACTAGCTCGCACTTAGGCACCTTAGTTTATATCGCCAACTCTAACTTGTAACTTATGTCTTTCAATATTCTTTAGTAATATCACATCCCAGGAAAAAAATAATGCTTAAGCAACTCACCCGCGCCAGAGAGAATCTCTCCTAGTTCGTAGGGGATTCATCTATCTTAGAAATTTGCGCTGCTTCCTTGGTTCTAGTAAGCGGAGGCTCTATGCCTATGTCTGAAGTTAATATTGTCGCTAAAGAATGATCTTAGATATTTGTGTGTATTTTGACTAAAGGGATCTACAATGTGTATTTCCACAAGCTCGCTTCTTTCCCCGGTCCCCTGTTGGCGAGGTCTAGTTTGGTAAGAGCATATTGCCTGTCCCATGGAGCTGATTCAACGAACTGACTCTGAGATAGATATGGCGGATGTACCATTCTCAAACGGGCCGTTACCACTATGCCATCCAGGACCAGCACCGAAAATACGGTATGTATGCGATGTTTGTACATGCCCAATGAGAGATACTGACCCTTGAAGGGCCCGTTGTACGAGTTTCTCCTAATGAGGTCTCGTTTGCTTCTGTCGAGTCATGGAAGGACATTTATGGTCACCGCGCAAACGGCGTCCCGACACCGATCAAGAGCGAATTTTACGACATTTATGGAGCAGGATTTCAGTCCCTATGTATCGGGAGTGAACGTGATCCTAAGAAACATGGCCAGATGCGTAAAATGCTTTCTGCTGCTTTCTCTACCAGAACCCTGACGGAACAAGAGGGAATCGTGACGAAGGCAGTGGATCAATTCATCGAGTGTCTGGGATCTGATGGTATACAGCCAGAGGGTCTCAATATGACAAAGTGGTACGAAATGGTGGCTTTTGATTCATTGGGCGACATGGCTTTCGGTAAATCTTTCCACAGCCTAGAAGCTGGTAAGGCCCCCATCTTAGTGTCGTTGGTTTCTTGATTTATCTCTACGACTAGATGGGATATTCACCGTTTGGCATTTTAGGAAAGCCGCACTCATGGTCGGAAATTGTCGTAGATCACCTCTACTTCATTACCCTGATTGACAATCTGCGCCGCCTTCCATGTGTTGCTATACTAGCACGACTTCTATTTCCTTCGACGTTGGCAGTGCAAAATTAGAATTTACAGTATAGCCGTAGAAAGGTGGAAGAGTATGTTGATCTACGTAGTATATGCATATCTGAAATTTATGTTGACTTAGTAGTAGACGCCTTGCTAAGAAGGTCACCCAAAACGACTTCTTGTCTACCGTCGTTAAGAACTATTACTAAGGCCTTGTAAGCAAGGAGGAGATGGCAGCCCATGTGTCTACGTTGACGTAAGTGTCTGAAGGTTGTATGGACTTTTGGAAAAAAGAATACGACGTACTGATTGAATGCGGTACATCTAGAATTGCTGGGGGCGAGACTACTGCAACCTTCCTCGCGGCAGCCACCTACTACCTTCTACAGAACCCGGCTTGTCTAGAAAGACTCCAGGAAGAAATAAGGGACAGATTTTCCAACTACAAGGACATCAATGCTACCGCAGCTCGTCAGCTTCCCTATCTCTAGGCTGTCATCAATGAAGGGTTGAGGATATATGCTCTAGGGTCCGGAGGCTTCCCTCGCGTATCCACTGGCATGAAGGTGGGAGACGTATATGTTCCTGCCGGTGTAAGTACATATCTAACAAGATTTTTACACGTAAATCTCTCTCTAATGAAATCACTACAGGCCGAAGTTTTTACGCACGCTTGGACGTTGACACACAGCGATGAGTACTTTTCTGATCCGAATACATTTAAACCCGAGCGTTGGCTGGACCCTAATTCCACCGACGTGCGAGAGGCTAGTCAGCCATTCTCTGTTGGACTACGAGGCTGCCTGGGCTAGAAGTGAGTTCGGAGGAAGCTTACAAAAAGAGGCTAAGACTTGTAGGTGACTAACTATCTATGATTATAGTTTCGCTTACATGGAAATGAACCTGATCCTTGCAAAGATGCTCTGGAAGTATGACCTGGAGCTTGTGGACAAAAAACTGGACTGGGAGGGAACAAGCCATTTGCACGTCATGTGGTGGAAACCTGCATTGATTGTTCGGTTTACGGAGAAGTATACTAGTACCGACTAGGTGCTGTTTGTATGTACTCTGTCCATCACCGGCTACATTGAATGTCGACTGGATGCCATCATCATGGGGAAACCCATCCTACAGTCACGAGTTCTTTGTATGGGCCTGCCTCGAAAAAGAACCTATGAATTCACGAGTGGCACATCTATCATGGGGCATGAATAACAAGGCCTTGGTGGCAGTGGAAAGAATCTCTTGAAGCCAACTCACTGTGCGATGTATCATATCGGAACTTTCCCTAAATGGCTGATTGCGATGTCCATCTTTGTCATCAATTGAGCCGCTCCCTTACTATCAAATCCGTACACAAGCTTCTTAATATACCATACATTTCGAGGAGTTTTGTACCAGCCTAATAATTTCCATTATTGAACAATTGGTAGCTTGGTGTCAGCATCTGCCGAGAAGGATGGCTGTCGACGCATCCGACCAGAGCGAGTCGCACGATTCTACCAGGTTTAACAACGTTGATGCTGCGTCCGAGGAGAAATCAATTGAGGAAGGGGTGATGGCACTGACGCCAAACCACGAGGATGTATTGAAAGATCAAATCACCGGTCCTGTGACCTGGCAGGGCTCCGTCCGCTTTCTATTGAGTTGCACTAGCACTATCGATGGACTTGTGCTGGGATCGAGCGCCGTTGCGGCCATAATAGGAGGTGCAGCAACCCCCTTTGCAATGGTAAAGTGATAGGGGTACTGATTAATATTTGGATGACATAGACTAACGGGTAAGGCAGCTTCTATTGGGAAACATGGGACAGTCCTTTCGCGGCTTTTTCATGGGGCACACGACGCTTGACAAGTTTAGCGATGAAGTCGCTAACATCAGTCTTCTCTACGTCTACCTGGCAATCGTGGAGTTTTCTGCCATATACTTTGCGACGGTTGGTTTCACCATGGCGGGAGACCGAATTGCTCAACGCGTCCGGGAGAAATATTTGGCTGCTGTCCTGCGTCAAAATATTGCTTACTTTGACGGTCTTGCCATCGGCGAAGTCAACACGCGTTTGACAACGGACATCAATACCATCTAGGATGCCATCACAGGAAAAGCGTCGGCTACACTCTCGGCTATAGCAACATTCGTGTCGGCCTTGGTTATCAGCTTCATCAAAAGCTGGGTATTGACTCTGGTGCTGTTTCCAGCTCAGGTGTTGATGGTCATATCCATGAGTGTTGGGGCATCCTTCATGGTTAAGTACACGGCGCGATCGCTCCGGGCGTATGCTTTGGGAGCCAGCATAGTAGAGGAAACTATTCGATCTGTCCGTACGGTCACGGCGTTTGGGATGCAACAGCCCTTGGTGGGCCGCTACGAAGAGCACGTGGCCAAGGCCCGCGAGGCTGGCACCAAAAGTGGTCTTGCGTTGGCTTGCATGATTGCAGCATTGAACGGCATTATATTCTGGAGCTACGGATTGGTCTTTTGGCAGGGCTCTCACTTTCTCATACAGGGAAGGGTGTCGCTTTCTGCCATCCTCACCATTCTGTTCGCCAATCTCGCCGGAGCATTTGCATTGGGTAACATAAGCCCTCATACTCAAGCATTCGTGAATGGAATCGCGGCAACCGACAAGATTTCGCAGACATGCTGTCGTCACTCGCCTATCGACCCGAGTTTGTCCACAGGAAGCAATAAAGAGCCAGTAGTAGGGGCCATTGAGCTACGAAATGTTAGCCATGTATACCCATTACGCCCGGAAGCTCCGGTATTGAAAGATTTCAGCCATTACTTCCCCCTAGGAAAGATGACTGCCATTGTGGGCCCTTCTGGCTGCGGTAAAAGTACCATTGTGAGTCTCTTACAGAGGTTCTATAACCCAGTGAGTGGCAAGATATGTATGTATCCATTCCCTAAAGGAGCACAGCATTTTTGGGAGCACTTTGACTAATCGGCGACAAGTTCTGGATGGTGTCGATATTTCTACACAGGACGTCTCATGGCTAAGACAGAAAATTGGCCTTGTTGAGCAAGATCCGACTCTCTTTTCAACTTCCGTTTATGAAAACATTCGCTTTGGCCTTGTCGGATCGGCTCATGAGAACCTCGATGACGCTGCAACACAGAAGTTGGTGGAAGATGCAGCAAGACTTGCCGACGCCTACGACTTTATCATGGCTTTGCCCGAGGGGTTTTCAACAAACGTGGGAGACTCTGGATCTCTCATATCTGGTGGCCAGAAGCAAAGGATTGCTATTGCAAGAGCCGTCATAGGCGATCCGAGGATATTGCTTTTAGACGAGGCAACCTCCGCGCTAGATGCAAATGCGGAGCGTCGCGTTCAAAGAGCTCTAGAGAATGCATCTAAAGGACGAACGACGATTTCGATTGCCCACAGGTAAGAACACAATCATCAAAATACTGCAATATTAGAAGAGGTCGAATCTAATGTCGAACAGACTGTCGACCATCACTCGAGCAGATAACATTCTTGTCATGTCCGAGGGCCGCATCGTTGAACAAGGCTTACACACAACCCTCATGGAGTACGACGGCATCTATTCCAAACTGATCCAACATCAGAGTGTTCAAGACCCAGGAAGGAACAGAACCGAAGTTGATGTCCCACTACAAGAAGGAGTGGACAAGGATGTGTCTCCCAGGCACTCCGAATTGATCAAACAGTCTACTGGGTCTACCGCCACAATACTTGAAGAAAAGACTACTGCGAGTTCTATCTGGAGCTTGGCTCTCTTTGTTTTCGGTCTCAACCCTAAGGGCCGGACGTTGATTCTTCTGGGCGCCTTGTTTTCCATCGTTGCCGGGGCGAGTCATCCAGCGTATGTTGGGACCAGCACCACGCCCGAATCCTTACCCAAGATGAGATGCTGACACTGGGTGTAGACAATCCGTTTTCCTCGCCAAGATCATCGCCGCCCTGTCTCAAAATCCATCCGAGCATAAAAATGTGCGTGAAGAGGTTGATTTTTGGAGTTGGATGTACTTTATGATTGGCTTCACCACCGTTGGCGGGTGGCTAGGGCAAGGCGTTTGTCTAGCGTATTACTCGCAACGACTTACACACATTGCTCGTGTCAAGGGGCTTGATACAGTACTGCACCACGACATTGGCACATTTTCCCGCAACGACCACTCTACTGCCGCTCTCACCAGCATTCTCTCGACAAGCGCCTCCAGTCTCCAGGGCCTATCAGGTGCAGTTCTCGGGACACTCCTTGTAGTTCTGACGGTTCTGGTTGCAGGATTCGCCCTCTCGACAGCCATCGGATGGAAGCTTGCTCTTGTCTGCGCGACGACAACCCCAATCCAGATTGCATGTGGTATCATTCGCTTGAAATGTGTCGCCATGCTCGAGGGCCACTCTCGCCAGGTCTACGAATCGTCTGCCATCTATGCATGCGAGTATGGTTCCAACATCCGCACTGTTGCAGCACTTACGTTGGAAAGAACCATACAAAAGACCTACCATCGACTTCTTGAAATGCAGCGGAAGAAATCTCTGCTATTGGTCAGCCAATCTTCGCTACTTTATGCAGCATCGCAGTCGTTGAACTTCTTGTGTGTCTCGTTGACATTTTGGTATGGTAGTCGGCTAGTGACAACGGAAGGGTACACCATGTTCCAGTTCTTCGTCTGCTACACAGCCATCATAGCTGGATCCTTCTCAGCGGGAGCCATCTTCTCGTTTGCACCGGATATCGGGAAGGCGAGGGACTCGGCTGAGCGTATGCAGGCTCTGTTCTGTGAACCGGTCAACATTGATGTACGAGAAGACGGAGGGTCCTCGTTTGACAATACAGATGGGACAATCGAGCTTAAAAATGTGTCTTTCCGGTACCCCAGTCGTCCCGAACACATGGTACTCGACGATATTAATATTACAATCCTATCTGGTAAGTATATCGCCTTAGTCGGATCCAGCGGCAGCGGCAAAAGCACAATTATATCGCTTCTTGAGCGTTTCTTCGACCCGGACGATGGCCAGGTGTTTTTCGGATCTCAGAACATCAAGGATCGGAACTTGAGAAACTATCGCCGACAGCTAGCTCTTGTGAGTCAATCGGCGACTCTTTTTGACGGCACGATACGCGACAACATTATCTTTGGCGTGGAGGACGAGAACTTCAGCGAAGAGGCCGTTATGCAAGCCTGCAAAGATGCCAATATTTTGGATTTCATATCTTCTCTGCCGTAAGTTTCATTTTCATTTTTTATTTATGTTTCTGTTCGTTATTTCACAGCACATTAGAATTCTATCGAAATCAAGCTGACCGCCTGCCGCTTTATCTCCAGAGACGGGCTAAATACAATGGTCGGGGCTTGAGGTGCAATGTTATCTGGTGGACAAAGGCAAAGAATCACCATTGCACGGGCATTGATTCAGAACCCCCGAGTTCTACTTCTCGACGAGGCAACTTCGGCCCTGGATTCCGAGTCTAAGAAGGTTGTCCAAGAAGCCTTAGATGCGGCGGCTAGTAGTAGAACAACCATCGCCGTAGCGCACAGAATTAGTACGGTTGAGCACGCGGACTGGATTTATGGTAAGCTATGTCTTCGATTCTTTCTTTCTTGGCTAGACTAACTTTTTTGTAGTTCTCGAGAGTGGCCGGATATGTAAGCAAGGTACACACAAAGAACTGATTAAAGCTGGACAAAAATACAACGAGCTGGCACGGCTTTAAACCTTTGACACAGCCCTATAATCTCGAGTTCGCTGGCATGTTGATTTAGGTGCATTAGTAAAGCCTGGGATCTTGTGTTTTACACTTTGATAGAGAGGGAAAAAAAATTGAGGGGGTGATGATTATAATTGTATAATGTTGTTAGTTGCGTTTTGTGATTACACAAGGCGTGCAATAGGCGTCTTGTATGAATGCTAATTGTGGTATTTCTTCATGAAATTATCTATCTTCTCGATACTCAATTTTAATACTGAGTGTCATCAACGGTGCTTGAAGAAAAGCAGCGCAGTTGATGTATTTCCCCGAATTGTGCCTTTTGCCTCGGGCCCAGCTGCCTCGCGGAGCTGCGAAATTGTTCTCTTGACGCAGTCGTTGGGTCCATAGGCGAGCTTCGGGTTTGCCTCTCGCCACCGTATAACAGTACTGGAGGTGTCATAACCTCTCTCCAACGTTTCCAATGATATAACCAGAGAGCCTCCATAGAAGTCATCACCATTAGATAAAACGCCATCTCGGTCCCATTCATGGCGCACATATTCAACTTCCTTAAAAGCAGGGTGTGGTTGGCTGAGTTGCTAAGGGAGTGTCAAATCATAGTAGAGTGTGCGGGAGAGGATGTTGCGCGCAACTTCGAAGCGAGCGAGCTCATCGCACTCCAATCGGCGCATGATACGGTTTAGCTCCGCTGCATTCTCGGACAAAGGATCTGTAGATGTTATTCTGCATTAACACAACCGATTCTGCTCAATGTCTGGCCATCTGGGTCACTCACGCGCATAAAAGCAACCTGTCGTCCACAGAGCGACCGTGCCACTAGGCCTGAGGAGCTGGGCAGCTTGGTCCCAGAATTCTGACATGTCAAACTAGTGGGCCTAGTGGAGAAAGTTAATACAAGGTAAAAGACTTTGGCAATGGAAAGCACTCACGGCTGTCGCTGCTGTAATGAGATCGATATCGCCAAGGGGCACGTCATCGAGGCTTGCTATCTTCTCAGCAGCAGAGACGTGATACTTGATTGGTTTATTGGCCTGTGTCGTGCCACCGACCCTCCGGGCCGTCTCAATCATATTTTCACTAGGGTCGATGCCGATTGCCTGGTCGAAGAAACGTCCAATTTCGCGTGTCGCTCTCCCAGGACCACAACCAACATCGACAACAATGCCACGCAGTCCAGCATTATCGTGGTACTTCAGTATGTCTCGGTACAGTTCCTGTGCGTAGGCAGGGCGACCTTCGTTGTATTCACTAGCCTGGTTGCCCTTGTAGGATCGGAACGTAGGGTCTGATCCATTGGCAACCTCCACGACAAATTCTGTAGTCATTTTCCTTTTCGTAAGGCAATACGATTTTCTTGGTCGTTGAATTTACTAGATGGTTGCTACCACTTTCAACAGACAGTGACGCCGCGTTTTGTTGGTTGCTGCTCCCATGCATCAACCAAAGACCCTCGGCATTGGACAGATTAGGGAGACTCCGCACCTGAGAAAAGTCGGATCATACTACTCCATACCAGCAGACGGATTCTTCACATATGATCAACTGTACGATGATCTTGAAGCCCACTATGCTCATGTCGTGGACACGGGAACTCAACCACCTTCAATCGCAACAATGACGGCCAATTCTCTGGCTGGGCTTCGTGACGCTGACGCCGAGAATGGGCGGAAAGGGCCAACTCAGAACAAGCGTTCTCGACCTATTTGATCAGAATGCACAAGCCAATCCACACACCGTCGCGGCGGAGCTACGTGCGCGAAGCATGTCATACGGCGAATTATACGATGCCTCTGTACGAGTGGCTTTGGAGCTACACAAGCGAGGCTTCAAGCCCCGCGATCGTATCCCTCTAGTAACAAATATGAGTTTGGAGATGCTCGCCGCGGTGCTAGGAATTCTACGCTTAGGAGCAGCCTATTGTCCCATCGATGTCAATGCCTGGAGTTCCACCCGGATTATATCGACTCTGGAATCGATTGGATCGCATCTAGTCTTTACCACCGTAGATGCCACCCTACCGGGATATGAGATCGTTCGCGTTCCCGATATTCTAAGCCAGGAACATCTCAGAGTCGGCGATGAACCGATTAGCCTATTCGGTGATATTCGACAAAGTCTGAAGTATTGTGATCTAATCTACATCCTTTTCACATCGGGGACCACCGGAAAACCAAAGGGCGTGATGGTTCCCCATGGCAGCGCAGCACATCTGGTGCAGCAGGATTTTCCCGGTGCTATGAAAGGAAGACCCGGCAAGAAGGTGTTACTTTTTTTCTCGGTCGCATTTGACGGTGCGTTGCGACAACCACTTTAAATTTCCCATTGCTATGATTAATACCATCGCTATTATCTTAAGGGCATTTTACTAACGACATGGGACAAACAGGATGTGCAGGGGTCATCTTCTCCACGATCTGCCACGGTGGAACTCTTGCATTGACCCAACCATCGGAAGTAATCAATGTCGCTTCATCTTGCAGCACGCTGATAGTCACGCCATCCATGCTAGCCAGCCTGGATCCCACGCCGGAATTTGATAAAGTACACAGCATCTACATGGGGGGAGAGGCCCCAACCGAGACCTTGGTCAGACTCTAGACGGCAAAGTCGAGGAAGCTCTACAATTGCTATAGACCTACCGAATGCACCACGGCAGTGTCTACAAGCGAGATGTCTCCCGGTGCCCCGATTGTTCTGGGTCACTTAATCTCTAAGGTAGAGATAATTCTGCTTAACGAGAACCTCGAGGCCGAAGTTGACCAAGGAGAGATCTGCATCCGTAGACCGTGTCTTGCTATTAGGTACCTCAACAACGAGCCTTTAACGCAGCAGAAGTTTTTCGTCAGGGATGGAATCCGCCATTATCGAACTGGTAACCTCGCTCGACGTAACAAGGAGGGGCTGCATTTCATGGCTCGTGTTGATCGCGTGGTAAAGAACCGCGGGTTTCTAATCAACCTGGAAGCAGAGGTGGAACCGGCCCTACGAAGCTTCCCAGGTGTCCACCAAGCGGCAGCCTTCATGTTTGAGAAAAAGCTCGTTGGGTTTTTAACTCCAGACAATATACCCGTAGGGGTACTTCGCAAGCATCTAATTAAGAGGTGCGACGCGTTCATTGTGCCAGATCTTCTCTTTACAACCAACGAGTTTCCCCTAACGTCCAATGGCAAAGTCGACTTAAAGAATTTGCAAGTCTTGGCCAAGGCTCGAATGAAAGATCAGCTGGAGCATTAGAAATCGTCCGACGTCGAGTCATCTGCAGCGTTGGATGCTGTACTAGAGGCTTTTGCCTCGGTATTCGACAGTCCAGTTGGCGAGATACCCCCGTCGGCGTCTTTTAGCCAGCTGGGCGGCCACTCGCTTACCGCGGTCAAGTTGCAATCTCGTCTCCGCCGCGATGGACTAAATATAGATTTGTCTAAGATCTTTAATCTTGATACACCTATGGCAATCTCTCGATCCCTGTCTACGATTATTACCCCGGAAATGGACTCGGTCGTGGCTAAAGAACATCTCACCGCGCCGCTTACACCTTACCAACTAGAGATGCTGAGTAAGACCAAGGAGGACCCTTCGAGGAACTACAGCTTTTATGGTCTAACAAGAAGCAATGTCAACGGCACCATCATGGCCGATCAATTGCACGAGGTGTGGGAAACCTTGTTCTATCGTCACGACATATATCGATCGACATTTGACCTGGACGCCAAAACTCAAACAGTACATGCAAAGCCTGACTTCATTTGGAAAAGCTTTGAAGTCCTGGACGAAACAGATATGGAGTCAGTGTCTAGGCGCGAGAGGGAGTCCTTGTAGACTATGCTTCGTTCTCGAGAACCCTCTCTGCCTATCCTGAAACCTATTTTTTGGATAATCGATGCTCCTGGCTACGCAATTCAAATGAATTGGGCTGCTCACCATATTTACACTGACGCATAGTCATTTGGAATTGTCTTAGATGAGATGGAAGCCATCATCAACGGACAGTCTTCTACACTCTCTCCAGCCCCAAGCTACACCGGAATAGCCCAGCATCTCTCCCGGGAATATGATCGTCAACATGACGCCATCGACTCTTTCTGGAGTGACTATACGACAATATGGTCTAAGTTGCGGCATATTCAACTACCGCCTCCTTCAAATCCAAGCACTAAACCGTGGGACACGTGGGGGAGCGACGCCCATGTACGAAAATCCCTATTGGATTCCTTTTCTGCCGAAAATCGCGTTTCTTCCGCCGCCGTGATATATACCGCCTGGGCACTCACACTAGTTCAATACACTGGTTCCAATACTGTGGGGATGAAGATCAGTGTTTCTGGGCGCAATATTGGCCATCCATCGGTTGAGAATGTGGTCGGTTCTCTCAACGGACGTTGCCCACTGCTGCTGCAAATAAAGGATGACTGGACTATGCCGGAGGCAATGACATCGTTGCAAAGGACATTCCTTCGCGTTAACGATTATCAGTGGACGTACCCGGACATAAAGAGGCATGTTCCAAAGAACTCTAGAGACGATGCTTACTGGTTTGATTCACAGGTCGTTGTCTTGCTGGACATGCCTGTCAATTCTGGGCTCTGGGATATACATGAGGTTCAGAAACCCACTGCTCCCATCTGGCTTGGTCTAATCCAGAGAGGGGACGTATTGAACATTCGTTTGAGATACGATGGTGGTAGATACAGTCGGGATGGTGTGCAGGAAATGGGTAAGACTTTCATGGATATACTGGGACAGCTGGTTAAAGCTGATCGAGGCACACGCATCAACGAGATGAATGGTGGGCTGTCTTGCAAAAACTAAAATAATCGCATTACTAAACGAACATGTGCTTTTCTACACATTATTAGTGAATTACGAATATATTATCACGCCTTTTGAACAGAAAGTGAGAATTGAATGAACTATTTGAAGCAAAGAAAATAAATGCCTAAAATTCAACCTATGCCTTGTGAGATACCGCTTGTCGGGCCTAGATATTGGCACAGGGTTCCGGGTTCCGGGTTCCGGGTATCGTTTTAACATGTTACTTCCGAGCATTTAGCTACCGGCATTGCCTCAACTAGGCTTAGTCGCCGGTGTGTAGACATTAATAATACTAAAAATGGAGCCCTGAAGATTCTAGGGCCATTATGACTACATGTAGTAATAAAGGGTTGAATACCAACCATCTCACTCCAGTGTTACAGATCCAATGCCAAGTAACCGACAACAAAATGGAAGGTCCTCTACATTTGCTGGCTAAATGGCCAATGACGATAGCAACTGCTGCTTTTGGATTCTACATTGTTGTTCTTGCAATCTACCGACTATACTTCTACCCTCTAGCTAAGTTTCCAGGACCAAAGATTGCCGCACTGACGCTGTGGTACGAGTTTTATTACGATGGCCTTAAACGAGGGCGGTACACCTTTAAAATTGGGAAAATGCACGAGAAGTACGGCCCGATTGTTAGGATCAGCCCTAATAAGCTCCATGTCAACGAGCCCTCCTTCATCAATGACCTCTATGCCGGTGGAGGCAAGAGGCGAGACAAATACGCCTACTTCAGTGCTCAATTCGGTATCCCAGACAGTGTCTTCGGTACACCCGGGCACGATCTTCATCGTCTCAGGCGTGGCTCTCTCAATCGCTTCTTCTCCAAGGCGTCTGTCACCAAACTCGAGCCCATTATCCACAACGCCATTGAGAAGCTTATTTCTCAGCTCCAGGCGCACACGGGCTCGGGAAACCCTGTGGCCATGACCATGGCTTTTAGCTGCATAACGACAGATGTTGTTACCGAGTACGCCTTTGACAAGAGCTATGATTTCCTGGGGGCGCCAACATTTGAGCCAAATTTCCACCGAGCCATCATCGCTGGTACCGACATGGGCCCATGGTTTAAGCAATTCCCGTGGCTCATTACATTGATGAACCAGATTCCCCAGTCAATTGTCACTTGGATTAATCCAGAAGCGGCTGTCTATGTCCAATTCCAAGAGGATATCCGGCGCCAGATTCGACAGGTCCAACTTAGCGTGGCTGAAGACAAAGTTGATCGTGGAACTGGTAGGACAATATTTCATAAGCTTCTTACGGGTGATTTACCTGAGCGAGAGAAACGACTGGAGCGGCTTTGGCAGGAGGGCCAAATTGTCATTGGTGCTAGGACTGAAACAACCGCCTGGTCTCTTTCAGCAATTCTGTTCTATGTCCTAAACGACCCAAGGATTCTAAGAAATCTACAGAATGAACTTTTTGCGGCCATCCCAGACCCCAAAGAGAGAGTCCCCTACAGCAACTTAGAACAACTGCCATACCTTAGTGCTGTTATCTGCGAGGGACTCCGGCTCTCCTATAGAGTCAGCACACGTCTCCAGAGAATCAACCCCGATGGTCCCTTTTTCGTCAAGACTAATGCAGACTCGAGCAAAACGGGGAACGGTGGCGTGCGTGTGGTTGAGATACCACCCGGAACACCTGTTGGAATGACGGCTGCACTTATTCACAACCATCCGGATCTCTTTCCGAACCCCGACGACTTCTGTCCAGAACGATGGCTTGATAGCAATGGTCAACGTCATCATAATCTTAACAAATATCTCTTGTCTTTCTCACGTAGTAGTCGGCAGTGCATTAGTATCAAGTAAGTCAATCAATAAGGCCTGATCAGACACAATCTTACTAACATGCAAATTAGTCTTGCGTATGCTAAGCTCTATTTAGCATTTGGCTTGCTTATTCGTCGCATAGGCTCAAGCCTCCGTCTTTTCAACACAACCAAGGACGATGTTAAGATTCACTACGATCGATTTGTTCCGACACCAAAGGATGGGACAAAGGGAATCCGCATTACTATCCTCCCTGGTTCGGAGTCCTTCATATAGATGTTTCTCTTTTACAAAGAAAATTTTTATCCGCGTGTAGATACATAAATGAACATCGTCTAAGACCGCATATAAACAATAAAATTTCAACGAAATCTCACGAGTTCGGGTAGATTCTACCACTGCAGATATCATACCAATATACCTCTATCCAACATATTGAAGTCCTCTCGGTATTCATGTCGTAAGAGGCATTACCTCTTAGAAATTTCCTAGTCGAGTAGCAATCGTACGTCAGCTGTCACATTTTGGAACGAGACGGATGATTATGATAAAAGCACCATGGAGTGCAAGCATGTAAGAAACAATGTTATATCTAGCGGGAATCAATCTAATTCATAAGGTACTAGTACACCTATCATTGTTTGATTTGCATCCCATCTAGACCATATTTTCTTCCCTAATAATTACTTAAAATGGCACCTCATGCGGAGCACGATGACAACTGCGTTGCTAAACAATTGGCCGCGGGAGTTGAAGATGCCGGGCTTAACACAATCTTAATTACGAAGATTATAAATTGCGATGCCGAGGCAAGTGCCGAACTTTTCCGTGCCTGCAAAGATTTAGGCTTCTTCTATCTCGACGTGCGAGACCACCTATCTCGAGAAGTCGCCAAGCAAATTAACTTAGTTACGTCTGCTGCCCATCAATTCTACAACCTGCCGTAAGAGGAAAAGTCTACTTGGGAAGCTAACAAAGATTATGTGTCCGGAGAAGAAATTGTAGGCGGGTATAACATTGCCACTCTAGTATGATGATAGTGACAGATTCTGATATCCATTCTAGTTACAAGCCTGCTAGCATCCAGACTAGCTTAGTTGCTGGTAAAGTCGATGGATTCGAAGGATTCTTGGTTAGTGATCATTAATTGCTATCTGAATGTTTATTTTTTTTTTCTATTATTTATGTCACATTTCTCCTTATACAAGGAAAGAAATATGTTAAACTTGATCAACTAATATCCATCTCTTCTACTATAGATTTTTGAGCATGCCCTTCGAAATGCCGCCCGAGACAAGCCTGTCAACCTGCCTAAGGCCTTTCAAGAGAGACGTGAGCTATTCGAAGCCACTAACAAAAGTCTCGGCGATATTGGAAGGGTTCTCCTTGACAGTCTATCTCGGTCTCTCGAACTTGATGCCAAGGATAACCTCGCCCGACACCATCACCAGGACCATGCCTCTCCTACTGCCCTGGGATTGCTGAAATACCTGCCTTACAATCCAGCTGCAGAAGAGGTTGGCCATGTATCGCACACTGATATTGGGAGTCTCTCTATGGTCTTCTCCGAAGTCGGTGGACTCCAAGTCTACCACCCGGAAAGGAAGGCATGGGTGTTTATTCCACCAAAGCCCGGCCATACTGTGTGCAATATTGGAGATTCGGTTGAGTTCCTGTCTAACAAGGCCCTCCGATCATCGCTCCACCGTGTCATTCCGCACCCTGCTGAGAAGGGGAAGTCCAAGATGACGGTCGTCTACCTTATGAGGCCGGACACAGACACGGTTTTTATAGACCGTGAGGGAAAGAAGTGGCGTAGTGTTGATTGGCACAACATGAAGAACAGGCTATTTACTGAAGATTTGGACTCCCAGGCCAGCAACCTTGCTTTGACTGGACGCTTAGGCCTGGACGATCTCTGGGACGAGAAGGAGGTTTAATCCCATATGGTTTTTGTGTATCTATTCTAGACTCTTTAATCGTCTCCATGGGCCATTGTGCTTCTTTTGCATCCGACTAAATTCAACTCCATGGTTGTTACGGGTTAGCCCGATTCGGCATGTATTGCTCGGCATACTCCGGACTTGTCCGTTTATAGTAAAATGTGTGCGAGAAGCACACCGAAACTTAAAGATGTGTACTCCGTAAGCGCGCAAGAAATGGTTATTGGTATAAAGCTGCATCCATACTGTCAATTGGGTTTAACTTGCATTGGTAGCAGATTCAGGTTATGTTGCCCACTATGGATTATTATTTTTCACTCCCAGGGCCAAATTTAATCCCAACTGCAAGCATTACCTCGCTGCTTGCCCTCTTGGCCATATGGCTTTTCACCAGGAAAGAAGCGACGCTGGATGCTCCACTTCTTACAAATGATTCTGGTGATATGCTGGACATTATGAAGAAGGGCTATGACGAGGTATGCCACTTCATACAATCCTTAAACCCGTCCAAATCGCAGCAAACCTCGTGAATGCAGCATTATCTAACGAGTCCCCGCATAAGTACCGTGATCGTTTATTCAAAATTCCTACATCTAATAAGCCAATGGTTATCGTACCAGGTCACCTTCTTGATGACTTGAAAAGCTTTCCCGAGGAGGCCATCAGCTTCCGCCACGAGATGTACGATCGCTACCTTGGTCAATACACCTCGGTGGCATCTAATAGTTCTGCCATGATTCACTCAGTCAAATTTGATCTGACTAAAGGCATCGGTAATCTTATTCCCGTTATACAAGAGGAGGTTGAGTACGCTTTAAAAGACTTCATGTCTACGCACGCATCGGACCCGGAAGGATGGGTTAGAGCACCTATTTACGGCATGTCTACACGCACTATAGCCCTGGTCTCTGGCCGGGTCTTTGTAGGCTTGCCACTATCGCGGAATGAGGAGTGGTAAGTTCCCTTCACACCCAACTACCTCTCTCATCATAGGATTCGTCCTAATAGAATACAGGATTCAGATGGCCATCAACTCAACGATAGACTCATTTGTTGGCGCAGCCATGATGTGGGAGTATCCCTCGTGGTCTTGGCCTATTATGCAGTGGATTGTACCTCAAACCAAGAGAGTTCGCTACTATCGACGCAGAGTGGGCGAGATGCTGAACCCGATCATCACAACCCGACTGCAGGCGGGCTCGGATACCAAGAAACCAGCTGACATGATTCAATGGCTCATTGACAACTCGAATGGCCGTGGCGGGGACTTGCCATTCCAAGCCAATGAGCATATTGTCATGAATGTCGCAGCAATCCACACGACGGGAGGACAACTGGCCCACACCATCTTCGACCTAGCACGACGCCCAGAATATATTTATATTCTACGTGAAGAGATGGACAATGTCCTTTCAGATGAAGGGCCCATAACTAAACAGGATCTTTTCCGGCTCAAGAAGATGGACAGCTTCCTTCGCGAAGTGCAGCGGATGAGCCCCCCATCCATGGTTTCGGTCAATCGCAAGGCACTCAAGTCCCTTACGCTGCCCAATGGTCTGGTGATTCCGAAGGGTACATCACTCGCCGCCTCGCCTGCATGTGTGAGCAGGGATTCCTTGATCTGGGATAACCCAGATGAATTTGATGGACTCAGGTTCTACAAATTGAGAGAGGCCGAAGGAGAGGAGAAGTATCAATTTGCTACTGTCAACGAAGATGCGTTGAGCTTTGGTGAGTAACCAATACTGTCCCCATATTTATTGGCCTGAATCTAACCATGTATTTACTTGTTCTTGGTTAGGTCATGGCCGGCACGCCTGTCCTGGACGCTTCTTCGCCTCTGCGGAACTCAAGGTTGTCTTAGTTCACATTCTTCGAGAGTACGATATTAAGTTGTGTGATGACTACAGCAACGATCGGGATCTTAATCGCTTTGTCGAGGTTATGGCTGCCTAAGATCACACTTATGAGCTTTGTTTTCGCGAAAGAAACTTAGCTTGAATGCATTTTAGGACTGCCCGATTAACGTTTCCAGGGTTGGCAAACCAGTATACTAGTTATTTACCCGTACTAGTACTAGAGTAGTATAAAGTAGTATAAGTACTACCTTAGTAGTTATACACTAGTACTAGTACTAGTACTAGTATACTAGTAGTACTATTACTAATATTACTAATGCTACTTTATATAAATATATATACATATAAGCATATATTACTAATAAAGTTAAAAAAAAAATAAAATAAAAAATAAAGTAAAGTGCTAAGTACGGGAATTCGCCACGCTGTAGACCTTCTACCCTACTTAGCCATACGGCACTGTGATTGGTTAGAATGGTAATAAGTAGGGCCTAACACTAGTATTAAAACGGATATCCCTAGAAGGGTTGCGATATATCTATTTCTTCCTTAGTACAATACACAGATTTGCTTACAACTTACCCTATTTAGCCTCCTGCTCCTTACAGTGCATTACGTTATATAACCGCTACGTATAGCCTCCTGTAACCTTTACATAAAGTAATTATAATAATTAAATATAACTAAAAATAAATAGTTTAAATAATACTTTAATACTTAAATACTACTAGTACAAAGGTCGCTACTAAAAGTCCTTTCTAACCGCCTTTAGCCCTACTATTTGCACTAAGCCTAATTAAGAAATCTATTTTCAAATTACATTCCGTCTCCTTTTTAGTGCATCCTTTCGTCCCTCCCTATATTCATTACTACTACCTAAAGCGATTACCTGCTAAATATGCTATAGTATCCTTTTAATCCACTCCTAAATACAGTCTTATTTTAAGTCTGCCTACGCACGCTACTAGTCTGCCTTTGCTTATACCTTTAATAAAGGCACGCTGAACTTAGTAGTTTGCCTTTTTAAGTGTATTTAGTATAGCTTAATTATTTGAATCTAGTAAATTTAGGCACTAAAATAGCCTTTAAACGATTATATAGTTGTATACAACTGCTTATAAAGTATATATATAAGCTAAAGCTTAGTTTTTTTAAACTAAGAAGTTTATACTATACTTATAAGTAAAAGGTATTAGCTTTAAAATAATAATCTGCTTTTATAAGTAGCTTTGCTTATTTACTTTATAAACTTTTATTATAGCTTTTATCTTAGTAGATCTTATAGCCTAATATAATAAACATTAGTCTTAAGCTCTTATACTTTATAAAGTTATAGTTTTATTTACTAATTTTATAACGCTAACTCTTTTTTTAACTTTATACGCTTTTTATAGTCTTAAAATGTTAAATATAAAATAGTCTTTTATTATTATATATAAAGTATTCTTAAAATATAAATTTAAAGTATTCTTTCTACCTTTCTTAAATATAAGATTATAAAAACCTTTTATTTAAAGCTTTTTAAACTTTATAGCTCTTTCGTTTATAGTAAAAAAGAATAAACGTTTTATTAAACTATATTACTTTTTTTAATTATTTAATATTTAGTGTTTATAGCGTAAGCACTAAGCTAACCGCTCTTATTTTATTAACTTTGTTAATTTAGGCTTTTATATTAGTTTTATCTTCTTTATCCTAACGTTTTAAAGAGTACGCTAAACTATTATTATTAAAACGCTACTAATTTTATATGCTAAATAAGCAGTTGTTTTTTCTCGTCTATAGCGGTCGGTGCACACCTTTATAAAAACCTCTTCTTTAACTAGTTCTTGCTTTTAAGGGCGGCCGGTTTAGTTACCGTCTACAACGTAGATATTAAGTATAACCGGCAAGCGTGCATTAATATTAAAGCTACGGTTAATAGCTTTATTAAGAAGTAAATGTACCTGCCGTGCAGAAATACTAGTAAAGGCTTTAATTTAATTATTCGTAGCACCGAATAGCTTTAAGCTAAGGGCCTGCGCCCGGGTAGCAATATTGTATAAAGGTATAATGAATTAGATATAAAGAAAAAACAAAAGGCGCGACGGCAGCAGCGGCACGGAAAAGTAAACAAATAATTCTGCCGGCATTATTTAGATTTGTGGGTCTAAGGCGGTCAGAAAGGACTTTTGGTAGCGACCTCTGTACTAGTACTAGTATAATACTACGAAGGCCCTTACTAAAAGTATAGGCTTACCGCTTTTAGCAAAATAGGCAGGTAGGTATAGTGTTTATATTTTATTAATACTGTATTATTACTAGCGAATTAGCGTGGTATTATAAATGCTAAGTACCCTATAGCAATATAAATTAGCGGCGTACATTAGTAAGCTAGTCTATTAAGGTTTAGCATACAGTCGCTAACGCTTTCTCCGTATGCATTATACTAGTTACTGTATACTGCCGCAGCTATGGAAAAGCGGTAAGCTTAAACTTTTGGTAGGGACCTTCGTATAGTAGTACTCTAAGGCTTTCATCATTGGTGGAGAGCTTTAGTCCCTTGTTTATAAGTTTCTCCCGTCTTTAATCTTGGTTATAGCTCTTTAAGCTATGTCTTATCTACAGAGTCTGGCCTATCCTGCGAGCAAGTGCATATCCGTAGCAATAGTCTCTAATTGTCACTCTCTGCGTGTCCTTGTCCATTCGTTATCTTCTCACTGCGTGTAATAGCCTGTAGCCCCCGGGTAATGTCCTTGATAATATCTTCTACGTCTTCTGTTCCCACAGAAAGACGGATGAGATCCTATCACCACGCAATCGATTTAGTGTTATCTCTAAAAAATGAAGTACTCATGCGAGGTTGCATGGTATTAAGAGATACTCACTTCGGTGATCCCTGCATTTGTCCGATCTTCCTCGGTCATGATGGCGTGCGTCGAGCTCCAAGGATGTGTCGCCATGGTTTTGCAGTCTCCGACGCTATAGTTCCCGACCTCGTGTTAGTGTAATGTAATCTGTAACTGTAGGCTGCCACCATGAGAATGCGCGTACTTTGTCATATTTGAAACAAGGCGGAGAGCATCAACAAACGCCTTACTGCCCATCGTGCCACCCTTCACTCCAAAGGACAACACACCCCCGTACCCACGACGAAGATACTTCTTTCCTCTATAATGGTACTTGTCCGTCGGCAATCCTAAGTTGTCGTGGCGAAAAAGAGTCAGCTGTCTTGTTCTTCGCTGTCACCCAGCACTTCAACTCTAGCCATGATACATAGAAAAGAGGGGTCCCGAACTCGGGGCTTGGATATTTACTCACCAGGATAACTGATCCAATTGGTCTGTGGGTGTTTGGAAAAAAATGTGGCAATCTTCAACGCGTTGGAGGCTATCCGATCACAACGGAGGCTCAGGGTTTCCATGCCGAGGAGAATCTGTTGTGCAGCGAAGGGGTTCAACACGCTCCCTACCTCCATAACAATTTCGAGCCGCAGGGCCATGGCAAAGGCCACTCGGCCAAAATTAGCTGCATATGAAAATGGCATGGGTCCATCGCTGAGCTGGGTGAGATGCGGGAACCGATCCCCGGCTTTGTTCCAATCGAAGCATCCCGAGTCTACAATGACGCCTCCGACGGTTGTGCCGTGGCCGCCCAACCACTTGGTTGCAGAATGGACGACAATGTCAGCACCGAAAGAGATCACGGGGCACCAAAACCCCCCTGCTCCAAAGGTGTTGTCAACCTATACAATGCATGGCGTGAGAAAACAAAACTAAGAAAGGGAGGATACGAGAGCGAAAGATCCATGTGCCTTCCATATTAAGGGAGGGGGCGGGGCGGACATACTATAAGGGGAACCGAGTACTCATGTGCGATATCGGCAATTGCCTGGAGATCCGGGATACTGATACGTGGGTTGCCCACTGTCTCTACAAAGACTAGCTTCGTCCGATCGTCAATGAGCGGCCGGTAATCCTTAGCGTTGTCACTAGTCACCCATTTAACAGTCACCCCTATACGAGGTAGAAGCGTCTTGAACATGCTGTAGCTACCACCGTAGAGAGCGGTTGATGCAACGATGTTATCCCCAGTATGAGCTAGACACAAGATTATTGCTTGAAAGACTGCCGACTGGCCAGAAGCACATGCTACCGCGGCGGTTCCGCCTTCCAAAGCAGCGACTCTCTTCTCAAACACTTCTACTGTAGGCTGTCGGGTTTCCAAGCGTGGTTAGAGCCGCAAGTGACAATCATGTCCCATTCATCTTTACTTGGGTAATGATGATATGGGTTTTGAGGCTAGCGAAATCTTCGGCCATAGACATACATTTGCTATCCGGGAGTAGACGTATCCCGCCTCCTCATTGCTACACACACGCCGAGCATGTTCGCTGTCGGTGAAGACATATGACTGCACAACCAGATCTATTAGCCTTCGGGTCTAATCCCACGTAAATGGACACTTATGAAGCCGCCTTACTGCTGTCGCGTAAATAGGCACAGCCCTTGCTTTTGTGGCGGGGTTAGGCTTTGCACCTGCGTGGATCTGTCGAGTATCAAACGCCCGCTCGGCTTCTAAGTCAACATCCACCCTGAAGGGAGCAAACGCGTCTGCCATTGTGAAAGGGGGTTTATTGATGGTACACTCAAGGCAAACAGATACCGATGCGTAATTGGAATTCGGATACTAATCGAATTCTACGTCAGCGATACTTTTACTTAATAGCCTCGCATCATTCCAAGGCTCTCACGTTCACGTGTGGAAATTGGCCCCATTCGCCTCATCCAGAGATTTTGGTACGGCCAATGAAACATGTGATAGTAAGCCATCTACCCGACCAATAGATTGTTCTTCGTTGAGTGAATCGGGAAGTTTGCGTTGGTGTTGTACCCTTGCTTCGGGGTATGCCTTTTTTGGATAGACCCGAATGTTCTTATGATGGTACGGCTGTAGGGATCCTGGTCTGTTATCAGCAATGAGGCAAGTATGGAGCTCTAAAAGATGTTGGAAACTTAGGTCTGTCAGCCAATTACGCATAAACATCATTTTCCAGCATGTCTCTCTTTAGGCCTTCGGACTAATTTCTGGATTACTTCGCCCAGACAACTGCCTTGGCAAAAGTGCACTGTCGGGATGCAAAAGGTTCAACCTGGATTGTCCTTGCAGGTGTATGTGCAATTCTACTGTTATGCATTCCGAGCGCCAAACAGAAGTATATCCAGGGTATTCCGTTTGTGGGGGGAGACGATGATGCTTCGATTAAACGAAACCGTGAACGGTTCGTCCACGACAGCAAGAGCATGCTAGTGGAAGGCTACAAGAAAGTGAATTCAATCCAAGACTCAGTTATATGTCTTCAATGGCTTTTTAGTTAGTGTGTGGTGACGCTGACATTGTGATTGTTAGTCCAACCGTGGTCTTTATTATGTGCCCAGCAAACTCGGGGAGCGACTGATGCTCCCCGTCAAGTATCTTGAATGTTTGAAATCCGCGCCAGTCCTGGAAGTCGACTTTGTGGCCACGTTCATTGAGGTCAGTACTTTTTCAGCATTGCGGTTAGGCCACCGACTGATATCCGATGTAGATGTTCGAGGGGAAGTACACCACCATGGGCAGTCGTTCCACACTTCACCCACGAGTTGTCCGAGGTCAATTGAACCGAAACTTGTGTAAGACTAAAGAGAATTGTTCCTTTTCATATAATTAGTTCGCGATGCTAACGGTTACGCCAGGGACTGTCATGGAACACATTCAAGAGGAGATCAAAGACGCCTTTGAAGATTCATTCCCCCCCTGCGATGGTATGAAGCAATCGTCATATTTACTCATCCGTCCACACACTAACAATGCTCTTACAGACTGGACCGAAGTGGACGTGGTAGACCGCATCACCCAAATTGTGGCCCGCGTCTCAAGTCGCATGTTTGGCGGCACAACTCTCAGTCATAACAAGGAGTGGATCCAATCATCTATTGACTTTGCAACGGATGGTTTCATCGGAGCCCAGGCCCTGAAGAGTTACCCCGAGTTTATGAAGCGCTTTGTTGCTCCTTGGATACCAGCTATTCGGAACATCAAGAACCACTATGCAGCCGCAGAGAAAGCCGCCATTCCTCTTCTGCGTGAGCGCCAGGCGTCGGGCACAGTAGCCCCAGATCTGCTGTACTGGATGGCCGAGGATGCCAAGGGCGACGAGAAAGATCCAACTTTCTTGGCAGGAATTCTTCTTAAAGTCAGCTTTGCGGCTATTCACACAAGCGCCGCAGCTCCGACACAACTTCTTTACGATCTCTGCGATATGCCGGAGTACATCGAGCCACTTCGGCGGGAGATTGAGGAAAATGTAGATACTAACGGCCTTCTTAGCCGACAAGGCTTCCAAGGCCTGACAAAACTGGACAGCATCATGAAGGAGAGCCAGAGATTCAATCCCCTACTGTTGGGTACGTTTCATTTTGAAGGTCCCTCAACCAACCGCAGTGCATACATGCTGACAATTAACAGTCACATTTGAGAGAGTCATCGCCAACGATTACACTCTGTCGGACGGTTTGAAGATCCCTGCTCACACCACTATTGGCATTCCAGCTCATGCAATCTCGATGGATCCTGAAATGTTTCCCGAGCCAGACCGTTTCAACGGTTTCCGGTTCGATGAGATAACAGCCAAAGAGGCAGCCCAGACCGAGAAAGGCAACAAGGCGGAGCCGTCCGTTACATACGCCGCCGCTCACCCGTCTAGCATGGCCTTTGGCTACGGTCGACACGCATGCCCAGGTCGCTTTTTCGCCTCGGCTGAGATCAAGGCTATCATGGTTTATCTCCTGACACATTACGATTTTAGGTTCCCTGATGGGCAGACTGAGCGCCCGCCCAGCCTGATTTTTGAGACACAGAATTTGCCTAACCCTACAGGGCGTATCATGTTCAAGCGGAGGTGAACGATTGTTAGAGTAAGCGGATACGGCTATGGGTGTTAAATCGGATAGGGGAGGTGGGCTGTGAGATTGGTTAAAATGGTGTAGTAGCATACAACATTGAAGTTATTGAACCCTTCTTGCTCACAAACTAGAAAGATCATCCAGATTGAAGATTTTGATGCACTTGTATAAAGCTAGGAGGAACACATAGGGAGACTAGCAACTGCGGCCCACATCATATCGTGGGAATTTTATCCACTACACAAATAAGAAGAGACCGTTAGATTACCCCATATATCGATGAATCCAATATAGCTATGAACAACTTGGAAGTAGCAACGGATCCTTTAACAGTCTCTCCATGTCCTCTGTCTTGATGTTAATACCTATATCAACACCGTCAGAAGTCCAAGACGGTCTAGATGCCGACACGAATCCTCCAGATGAGGGCGGTGCCTCTTTGATAAATACGACTCCATCAAGGTTCGGCATAAGGCCATCCGCGTATCGGATGTCCGATCCCAATCCAAAGTCAACATCGTAAAGACCAGCGCGAGCCCACGTGGTGACCAGAATATGTCGCTGACCGAGGAAAGCCTGCCATAATCTTTGAGGAGACCCCTCAAAGGCCACGGTATGAAGATGTGCCGACAAGTTATCCCGATTGCTTGTTGTGACAATAGTCTCCCTAACCTTCTTGGCAATAGGTGCCAGCAGTCCCATGGGCTTTCCTTCTTCTGTCAAACAGGCCTCTGTGCCCGGCATCTCAACGTTGATCATAATGATTGGAGACCCCATAAATGATTCACCCAACTTCAAGGCAGAGCGAAGACCGAGGACCAGGTCGCAATGAACGGGGCCCTCGTCGTTTTCAAGCCGACGAGCTCGCATGATGCACGAGTACATATGAGCTAAAACAGCGTCATGCTTGCTGATCACGAATCCCCCCTTCTCAGCTCCCGTGGTGGCATCCTTCCACAAGAACTCAACTTGCTCTTTGGTGAGGTGGATGGTATAGCCTGAGACAGGAGCTTTGACATCCCATTCTTCCCAAGGCATAGGCTGGCCCGACGGGGTTAACAGGTCCGCTTCGTCGAGAAACGGTGCAGGCGGCTTGCCAGGTGGTGCCCACCAGTCGTATCTGTGCAGTGGCAAGGCTTGAGTCTTCTTGACGATAGCAGGGTCCGGCTGATGGCTATTGATGTCGCTAGCAGCTACCTCATCTAACCTGGCCGGCTCAAATACGGGGCTGAGAACGGGTGGTGTAGAGCCAGTCACGATAGCTTGGCTCATCTTTGCCCAGTCGCTGACAAAGTAGACAAGACCGGAAATGTCTGCCAGCGGATGTGCAATCTTTGCGGCCAGAACAAATCCGCCACACGCAAGCATTGTGCACTGGATGCCCATGATGGGTTTCCTGATGCCAGTCTTGGCATCGGGATCGTTGGGCTGCAGAGCATGTGCAATGTCACATGTGTTGATGAAGCGTGCAATCCCATCATCTTTGCAATTCCAGAGCGGCTGAGTCTTTGTCCTCTCACTGGAATAAAGTGAGTCCAGGGTGAGGGAACTGGCGGCAGTAGCAAAGTCAACGCCGACCTCTGCAGAGCCTCCGAACCGGGTATACACCCTTCCGAATCGGCGGCCATGGGCTGGGAATCCCTTTGCGCCCTCGGGAATTTGGTCATTGTCAATGACGTCGATTGACTGCAGGAGACCGCACCACTGGGGGTAAGAGTTTAGCGTAGTGCTAAGGGTCCGGCGGAGATGGCCCGGGACGTCAGATACGTCCATTCCCTTCGGTCTCTCGAACAACCATATGACGTTGGTCAAGGCAAAATTGGCCGTCGTTGCGTCCAGAATGGACAGCAGCATCGTCTGCTCATCTGGCCTAGGTGTCTGCGGGTGGACTCGCTCTCGTTTGAGGTCACTAATTTCCTCCGGAGATGACATGTTGGAGGGTGTGGCGATGGCAGTCGATTAGGCCCGACTATTCATCAACCTGGAAGAGAACAATGTTCAAGATATGTGTCTATAATAATTGTTTCAAATTATGGGTGCCCAGTGAGCATGTGTGTATTGTTGTGGTTAGGTACCTCCGAGCTATGCCGACATGCATGAAGTCCCTTACTAAATAGCGCCCTGCGCCACACAGTACATGTATTCTTCCATCACACGGCACAATCGTGCACACCCCACCCATTTTAGCCTAGTTCGTTCGACAAATTGAGCCCATAGCGCCTACGGACCCATAGCGCCCAGGGATTGCCAGGTTGGAAGAAGCATAGAGTGGGCCCGGGGTATGGGCGGGGGTTTAAGACATCGGCGTCGACTGATTAGGGAATTGTCCGAACGGCTTTAACGACACAACTGTTAAATTATGGGTGACCAGTAAGCATGTGTGTATTGTTGTGGTTAGGTACCTCCGAGCTATGCCGACATGCATGAAATCCCTTACTAAATAGCGCCCTGCGCCACACAGTACATGTATTCTTCCATCACACGGCACAATCGTACATGCCCCACCCATTTTAGCCTAGTCCGTTCGACAACAACATCGGCCAAGTATTACATGTAAATGCGCGCGGTTTCCTCCTTTCTGTTGGCTGTTCTTGGAGACTTCTACATTACCACATGACAGTATTACTGGAATCAATTGTTATGGAACCAGATATGAAGGCTAAGCTTCAGGTCATTGGACTGGTAGGTTTACATCTTGAACCCATCCACGGATGCCAATTCAGTTAATACGTACTGACATTCATGTCTATCATCAGGCATTAGTAGGCCTCGGTTTACTGTACAAAGTTGCAACATGGTGGTTTCATCCTCTACGAAAATTCCCAGGTCCTTTTTCCGCATCATTTAGCAACGTGAGTTCAATGATATTACTAATAATATTATCGCTTTTAAGATGCTACCGCACTTTACGCATATATTATAGCCGCTTAACGTTATAATCTTTTAGCCTTTAAAGTATTATTGTATAAAAGCTTTAGATATAATAGTATAGAATAGTTTAACTAGCTTTTTAAAGCTAGACTTTCTTAGCTATATAAAAGACGTGCGCAAGCAAGTAATAAAGTCTTTATTAATTTAGTATATATTTTAAAAGACTAGTATTTACCCTTTTAACTTAAAGCTAATACTTAATATGCTTAAATAATAGCAAGCGTATTGCATACTATTGCTACTAGCTACTAACCTTCTATACTCCTTTTCTTTAAATACACTAATTATAACGCGCTAATTTAATAAGGTAGCTAATTAGCTTAAAAATATGCTTAAAGAGATTAACAACTTCAATCTAGAGTTTTTAAATAATGTCTTTTACTTTATAAAGGGAACTTTAACCTTAGCAGCTAAATTAGTACAAACAAAGAGAGACTTAAGAAGAACTAGACTAGCTAAAGAGTCTAGGAGACGTGCAAGGGCTACTGCCAATATGCCTTTAAAGTCTAAAGGTATTTTAACAGTTGTAGAGGCACAGGAAATGGTTGTGTAAAGAAAACTAGCAAAGGAGTTAGAAGCACAACGGCTTATCGAGGTGGCCGACGAAAGACGACGAAAGCGCACCAGAAAGTACTACAATCTGGCCGCCAAAATAGCCAAATTTAAGAGGCTAAACGGGGCTTTACAGCCATTGTATATTTGTGAATCTGGCAAGGTTGGTCGGCTTCTTAGAAGAGGTTAAAGGTAGAGGTGGTGATAATTGAATATGTTGATCAGGTAGGGTAGGTGATCAGGTAGGGTGGGTAGCACCAACTTTAGTTGGTGCACGTTATGCGTGTTCCAATTAAAGTGGGGCGTGGCACGGTTACGGGTCTTACACTGGTATTCGCGCAAAGCAATTGCGCGTACAGACTAGTGGTGCACGGAGTAGAAGCCACGACAGCAAATAGAAGATAAGACGTTCGTTATCTCCGTAGCCCCGCAAATTGCCCACTTTCTACTTAGTAAATTTGTGCCACCTTAAAAGCTTTAAGCCTTAAAAACAAATTTAGACAATAGCGAGAAGAAACGGAATCAAAAGCCCCGGCAGTAAAGAGCCAGCAATGCACGAAATTTTCCTGACTGCCATAGTTCCTGATGGCGAAATCGAGCGCGCCAAGGCCCTACTTCAGGGTCTCTCCGGCATGACTGCCTACGCCAGCATTCATCGCGTCTTATATTTTTCGGGACCAGTCCAACCACGGGGACTAACAGTGAAACGCTCGATTCTCATGCCGTTACAACCACCCCAGATGCGATTTTGGAGCGAACTGCACCAAAATTTGAGCCGCCAGTCGTTTATTTTGCAAGCTCGTTATCCTGTACAACGGTCAGAGTTCGGTCGTGTGGAGGACGATCGGCCGACAAACGATTCTTCGCTTCCTCCCCTCTCTTCCGTCAACCCCTTGGGAAGTCTTAATAATATGCCAGGCACATTAGTTTGGTCCGACATTCCTGACCCAACCACAGCCTCCAATGGTGGTAACCCCATGGTCATCCAGCGGAAAAAGATCGAAATAACAGATACAAAACATCTGCCCGCTATACTTCAAGATAACAATCATACGTTAGTCACTGATAAGTTACAACTAACAGATAACTTATCTTACTCACATTACCAGGTTCAAATCTGAGCTCATAGAAGAGTCATCCAGTTTTTTCACAAACAAAACCGAATATGCCCTTGTTCGATATCACTGTATGCCCACAAAATCGATGCCCATAAGCGGACGATCAGAATCATACGTTTTCCCAATGCAAGTTCTTCCACCGTGGGAAGAAATAATCAACCCAACATCCATACCCAAGGTCGACCCTTATGGGCAGTGGCTCCTATTCGTACGTCGCCATGTCCTTGAGGACACTTCACCTGAGAAAATGGCAAAAGCTGTGGAGGAGTTGGAAAGTGTTCGAGCTCAACTCGCTGGCGTTTTTGTTTTTCGGCCGGTTGACCGCCGTGCGCACGACACGAGGCTTGAGAGACCTGTGAATAACATGCCGCTGCCGCTGCCACAAAAGGTCCGCGCCTGAAATTGCATACTACTGCCTTGGTTCTGTGGGCCTCTAGCTACAGCTGATGTTCCGATGTGCCTCCATTTTCAACAAACATTCAACCAGTGTCGACTTCAAACTACTGTACTTCTTTTATGAAGTCTCGACTTTATAAGTGACGTCCTCGAAATTACTAAATTTAGTGCTCTGATGAACAAAATAACCCCATAACCCGCAACTACGTGTTTTGATCTAGCCACTAAATAGATGGCTACTTGGGCTTGTGCCTCTTACCTCTGCAGAACAAAATGCACCAGTAATCTACCGAATAAGTGATTGCTTTGTGATATCCAGCAAGTGAGTTATACAAGCAGTTGTACTCGAACTTTTGTAGCCAATATCTATTACAAAACGATGCCATAAACCACGAGAATTATTTCTTTACCGGAAATTTGACAATGTCCACTTCACCGTGCCAGGAGTTTGTCCCATGATAATTCGGTAGTCGAAAGACTTGACATATTCAAACCATGTAACAGATTTCAGACAAGGATAGTCGTTCAGGTTTGTACCGGCCAAAGCTTTAACCCAAGCCTCCTTGACGTTTGTATTTCCGGGCTTGGTTGACGTTTCGCCGAGGGCCATATGCTTGTTATATTTTTTTGAAAAGACTTCATACTGTCAGTGCGACAAAAGTTAGCAAGAATAAGACAACGCTACAGCGGAAAGCTCAAGAGAAGATATAATAAATGGTAAAAACTGACGAAAGAGCCGAACTGATTTGCGAAAGTAGCTTTAGTACTCGAAACATACTGATCCACGCCAACTATATTAACATATTCACTGCCGGGCCACCACTGCCTAATCTCATCAACCGTCTTCGCGTTGTTTGGTGACCAGAACATCAAACAGCGATCAATGTCTTTAAGAGCATCAGAAACATTGCGCCATGCATGTATAAATTCCTCCGCTGCTGTCGTGTCAAATGTATTGTCAGTCGAGTGTCGGCGAATACCTTCCGCACTAAAGACTCGCTCAGATTCACGTACTGCCATTGTAATATCCCGTTCCGGCATAATAATTCATCTCGTGTGCGAAACGAACCCAAACCTCCACTTTCGCATCAGTAAACTGTTTCACCACCGTGGCGATATCCTTCGCGATGGCAGGGCCGACTTCGCTAAACTTCAGCCCTGTAGGCATGATACTTGCGATAAGCACTGCACCGCTGCTTTTGATTTCGTTGATGTGCTTCAACAACTGGTGTCCATCGTAAGAGCTTGCATTTTTAATTTGACTGAATATGCCAAAGGTGCTCGCCTGTTTTCCGGTGGCCTCGTTAATCATGCTGATGTTCACCCCGTTATCGATGTCGGGGTTCCAACCCCAGTAAATCCCGTTGTAGCCTTGCATCCCACCAACTGGTGGGTGCATGTCCCATGTTGAGCAGTTGTCCTAAAAACATTTACGTGAGGAAGAGTTCTGGCTAACGGTTCGTGTTCAAGGGGAGATAACTTCACATCGTAATGGCCGTACCCTTTTCCACAAGAAGCTGCTGCTTACTCCAAATAAAGTCAAGAAAACCATAAAATAGCGTGTCATAGCTGTGTCAAAGGTTTCCCCTAAAATATATCAAATTTTGTATTCCAGGTGTGTTTGATGAAGGAGAAAACGAATGGTTGATTCGCCAAGGGAGTCGACAACTATAGTAGTAGAACCCGAAAATAACGGATATAAATACCCTTTTGCACACCATAGGAGCTCTTAACTAATTGTGCAAGACCGCATTGCTAAACTGTTTCTGGAGTAGTAGAATGGCTTCAGCTGCTGGACTGAAACTTTTCTCCAGTTTGATTACGGGCAATGAGCCCACATGTAAGTATTTCGGCGAATCTATGACGTAGATCCAAATTCAATATGAAAGAGTATTGCGGCTGACCGACCTTGCATGAGCTGTTTTATAACAAACCCCACAAGCCTAACGCAAATCATACAAGGATTAAGTTGGTGGGAAAAGATCAACACTACCAACAAACACCCATATATCATGACTACCACTCGAAAGGTCATACTTGCCGCATTTTGAAATTTAAAACTGATAACATTTAAGACCGCTTGAACAAAAACCCGGATTTCATGCCTCAAGGAAAAGCTGCAAGCACGGGAGCTTTATGTATTTGTTTAGCACTATTTATTACACGGAGACTGTCGCTTCTTCTCTGTTCTGAAATCTATTGTAACATATCACCCAACCCTTTTTGAAGGAAAAAGCATGTATATGTATATCCCTAAGCAGTTGCTAGATTAAACTTAGAGTCAGAAATAGCTGCCGCAGTCAATTAAGCAGCCGTTAAAACCCATAATTATTGAAATGCGAAAACAACAATGGCTTTCACCAATTGCAAAAAAGGAAGCGGTGGTTAATATACAGGTTGTAAACGTTCAAAACAATGAGAGGGAGGGTTTGATACCACTCCATACCGTGAATAATCCGATAGGCGACTGCCGATATCACTCCTCCCATGATGACAATGGCCCAGGCCCAGCAAAGAATGCGCATATTCCGATACTTGTTGCTCTTGTGGGCCTTCGCATCTCCTGAGGCAGCCCACATCAGTTCGATATTGAAGAGGCGATCCTTAATAGCCGTCAAATAGGCATAAGACTGGATGTGCATGATATGCTGCACATTCATTCCGTATTTTGCCTTCGCCCAGAAGCGGAAGACGACTAAGCCGTAAACAATAGAGGGTATAGCGAACGCAAGATTGTAAAATTTAAACCACTCAGGGCGAAACCAAAGCAGAAGAATTCCGGGTATAGGCGAGATGAAAATACTGAGAGAAACTGCAGTATAATAAAAGAAACCTGCACACAACAATACATTAGTTGGAGTTACTATAGACCGAGTGTATACAAATTTGCATACCGCAAAGATAGCAAATCTTTTGCATGATTGTAAGCTTTGAGACCCAAAAGTGTTTATTTGTAAGTAGCGTTGTACTCCCACGAGCCCATCGCATTTGTTGAGAGAAAAAAGAGCGAGGTGTTGGCGGGCAAACACCAGTAGCTAAGCACAGGGGCACGTATTTGACCTTCCAGCCGCGGTCAACAGCACCAAACCTAAGAAATGTTAGTAAGTCTTTTAAACAAATATTAGCAAAGCAGATTAAAATACCCAGTGTGGACATCTTCAGAGAAGCCAATTTCTGCTGTTCCGCCAACTTCCTCAAGCGCAGCACGCCTATACATAGCATTGCTTCCCACGCATATAGATGCGCCCCATCTATTCCTATTAACCTGAACAACGCGGTAAAAAAGTTCTTGAGTCGCACCTGCTCCCTGTTCAACCCAGGTCTGGTCATCACGAACACGGAAGAACTGAGGAGATTGCACAATCGCCGTCTTGTCGTCATTTAAATGAACAGCAGCAAGCTCTTGGAGGAAGTCTGGACGAGGGCAAAAGTCCGCGTCGAATATAGCAAAGAAATCTCCCGACGTCCGTGCAAACGCCCAACGCAGGTTTCCTGCTTTCTTTAGACGCGGTCGATCCTCACGCACAATGTAGTTAAACCCATAATGCTCAGCTAGGCTGCGAACGGTTTCCATAGCGCCATCGTCTAGCACGTGAACTTGGATTTTTCCAGCAGGCCAGTCAAGTCTCTGAATATGGTCCCACGTGTTAGATAAGATCTCTAACGGCTCTGCGCAAACAGGCAAGTATATGTCAACAGTGGGCGCATTATCGGGTGTGATAGGATTGTTCGCCACGGCATCTTGGTGCGCTTTGTAGTCCCAATCCTTGCCGATAATTCCGACGAAGTAAGAGATCAACAGATATATATCGACGAAGCCGACAAATACTGCATACCATACGAATATGATAGAGCATAGTGCAAACAGCCACATGCCTGCAGACAGTGATAGGAAGGAGAATAGCCCGAAAATGTAGAGTGGTATGCGGTTTGTATGAAGGTAGCTAAGCTTCTCTTCGTCAGTTGGACATGAAGGTAAGATCAAAGCGGGCTCCTCAATGGGACAGTAGGTCCTCCGCCACGCATTATAAATGCGGAGGAAGAGACCTGGTCTGCGCTTTGGACCATCGACAGCATCAGCGGCCTGTTTCTGAGCGTCTGTGATACGACCTGATTGTGCAGCAGCAGCAGCTTCCGGATCAGAGTGAATATCGACTTTTTCACTAAAAAGTACTCCCGAACGCGAAGGTTCAGCGTAAGGTTCATGCGTCTGCAAGATTGTTTCAGTACGCTGGCAGTGAGAATGAGGTATGGCTTTGAATCATAAACGTACGATACGCAACTCTGAACCAGCAGAAGGTGGCGGTGGAGCAGGGCGGTGGCCAAGAGTCCCAAATCCACTGGTAGGTCCTCCGGGAGCAGGAGCATGAGGCTTTAGTAAAAGTAAGTATATAATCGTAATGTATAGTCCATCCAAAAAGTGCTCTTACAGGAGTAGAGTCTGAGCTTGTTCTCTCTGGAGTTGCAGACTGGGATGTCCTATCCTCAAACGGGTTGGAAACAGCGAGTGAGGCAGTGGGAGAAGGTAGCTTGGGCGGCTGCATTATGAACAAAAAAAAAAGAACTAATTAGATTAAAGAGCTGTTTGGAGCTGTTTGGGCAGTTCTGAAAGATGTTTTTTTTGTGTTAAAAGAACGAACGTCAATAAAGAAGCTTGGGCTATAATATGTAGTAGGTACAAGCTGGTTATACGGTAAACATTTATATATTTGTCCCCTTTCCTGTTATCCCTTTATCAAAATAAAGAGATTGGATTGGAAATACTGAGTATCGTGAAACCATGGTGTGCCTTTTACAAAAAAAGCAATCAGAATTGGCAAGCTGAAAGAACATTCGTATGGCGGGTCAACTTCAGGCTCAGACGCAGTTTTATTGATCTTGGCGTTCTTGGGAGCTGAGCTTTGCAGCCGCAAAGCTTCCTTGTGCGTTGTTTCTCTGCCATGCATGTCGTTTTTTTTCTCGCGAGAATTTATCGTGGCGAGCCGGGGTCAGTAAACAAGGAAGTCAAGGTTCACTTGTATTGCTTTCCGCGTCAATATAAAATAGTGTGGGACCAGTTGTGGAACAAAGAACTGGTAGGCAGGGATTGAAGAAGACTGCAGGAAGGCGGGCCAGGGCTGAGGCTAGAAAAGAAACAGAAGGAGCCACGCTAAAATGATTTTGAAAGGCACAAGCTTGGTAAGATTATAACCGCCTGCCGAGTTGGAGCATTTCGTGGGCATCTTGTTGAGTTCCAGATGTGGAGCACTGCCGATCTCAACGACCATGCTGAAATTTGATGCTGATAAGGTGACGTTCGATCCAGAAAAATAAGCCTCCGACCCGAACTCAACCAGACCAAGGTAGGAATCGGATGCTATCAGCCCGTTGCGCCAAAGATATTGCAACAAAGGTGATACATCCTCGAAGAAAGCGGTCAGATTCCCCGAAGCCAGCCAGGTGAATACCGAGGCGTTGTTTGAGTTCAGACCCGTATAAAGTGTACTGAATACATGCCAGCCTTGTTAGTCGCTAGCTAATTGCGAGGGCGACAGAAGTAGAGAGCATACAAGTTGACACCGCTCAGCTCTTGTTGGAAGCAAGTTCTGTTTGTGCTGTATCCGATGGGCCACGGATCACTAACCGTGCCGATCCATATCATAATTTCTGTTCCTGCTGTAGTCGCTGACTGTGCCATATTTGCGTCGGTATCTGCGAACATGTCAAAAGCCACATTTGCAACGGTGCCCAACTGACTGAGATCTGCAGCAAGATTACGGAATGATGAAGTGGCATCGTTACCGGCGCTGTAAGACCATTGGACACCAAGCTCAAGAGAAGAAATGTTATCTAGAGCCACCGGGAGGTTCCATGACTCAAAGGTAACGTGGGGGTAAGAGTGGACCGAGCCAGGCCGGTCCATCCATGACCAAGTAGCGTCGAACGATGGAGGATCGTCGTTGATCTAAAAATCGATATAGGAGAAACCAGTCCCAGTATCAGCTTACATACTATGCCTCAAGCAGCCTTTCCCCAAGTTGGAGAAGATTTGTGACGAGCATACTCCGTATGGAGATAACAAAGCGACGCAGGGGCCATTGGGAAGAGGGGGTAGGAAGCTAGGGACAAGGGAAGTTGAAGGCTTATCCATTATGTACGCACCGCCATGCACTGGAAGCCCCTGCCCACCGGATTCCATGCATTTGAGCTGTTCTTTTTGTGAATTATCGTCAGTTTCTTTGTTTGTGCCCTGTAGTCCCACCTTCAAGAACAAATGCGACCTGTAACTCCATGTAACACACAACTAAGACTGGCATTGCTAGATGCAGAGTAGCCATTTTCACCACATACAACCGCATCGTAAGCGTAAATTTGTGTTGAAGCCCCGAGGAGACTAAAAAGCGTCAACCCAAGCGAAAACTTGAGTCTATAGCCGTGTTGCTGTCCAGCGAGTAAAGTTGATCGCATGTTGAGCGATTGTTCGGTCCTGTATCTTCTAGGTGTCTCGCCCCCTTCTTCGTTTAGGTTTGATTCGAATAGTGGTTACAATTCGAGAATGCGTTCAGTTTGGATCTAACAGTGAGAACACTATTTCCTGTAAATTGGGCAGCTTCACTTCAGTCCGTCTTCTAGGCAATGCCAATACGCTCGCGGGCACCCCTTCGGTGAAATATACGCGCGTTCATCCGTACTGACTGCCTCACTGACTATCCACTATGATGAACAACGGCAGCTGCCGTTCTAGATCCCCCTTCCCCCTCCCCCCCGCTCCCCTCCTCCCGGTCCCTAATCGTAGGCGGAGAGGTATTGTAAGAAATCTCACGACATATGTGTACTCCGTACATCATTTATATCCACATATGCACAGCTTCCGAGACGCCTGTGTTCGCTATAATACAAAATATTGGAGCGACTTGCGGTGTGACGTGACTAAACGGCTGACAGTGTAACGACCCGAAACTCAGCAGGGGCATGATGTGAGCTGCGGCTGCAGCAAGCCACGTCGGCAGCTGAAAGTGTGATATGCTTGGCACTGCTAATCGCCGCCCGAGTGGGTCAACTTGTACTACGACGTACGAAATACTCCAAACTCCATACGGAGTACACTAAGGACAAATATGGTAATTAAGACATGACGGGATGCCCACTAAGCTCATTCTTTCAAAGACATTGCTTCCGAAAGCTACTAATCTCATCGCGGTTTACCATCGCGGTTTACCAGAACTTTTAAAAACCCAGTCCGAGAAGCAATTTAAAAAAATCATTTACTCTTACTTACGTAGTTTTGCTTTTGCGACGCCAAGAGTGGGTAGATGGGCTTCAGCGACTTTCGTGCAAAATTTGTAACGCTACTTACGTTAATCTGCTTACTTGTTTGGCAAAAGGAACGCCTGAGACAATGTGCTCGTGAAACTTCGGATGCAATCAAGTGGGTAGCTGAGATAAGGCGTCTTCAGGCTGAAAGAGTGGGCCTACGCTTCCCTATGTGATACCACGATGGCAATAGTGACTTTTTTGAAAGTGAGGTTGGAAAATTCGTTACAGGGACATGCTTTATAGCTTTCGATATGGGTTCAGCAGGAGGACTTTTATTTTTTCTGTCCTAAGCCCGAAAGTTGACAGTTCATGATTTATGTATTAAAGACGCCCTTCATTCAACCACTTCTCAACTTTTTCTTCCTCCCCTCATCCTTCTTCATCCTTCATTCACGCATAACGTCTTCTTTTTCAGCAACTCGAAAACTTCTGCTCCGTTGTTCTATAGAGTTTATCATGGTATCACTTACGCCTATGGACCGCGCACCCCTGACAAGAGACGCTAGCTATGAGTCTATTGTCTCTTCCAAATCTGACATGTCAACATGGGATAAGGATCTCACGAACACGGACACCGCACCTACTTCTGTCGGGCCATCATCGAAAAACTCCCCAGTACTCAAGAGCACTGATGGCCCGGTTATGAAGACCGTGTCATTTGACGATCTAGACATCGTTTTACTTCCTAAAATCGGAAATGTTTGTTTTGTCGGTGCTGGCTTTGTGGGTAGGCTTATACTCCCATGTCCACACCTTTCTTTCAAGCAGTACTCTAATTGTTCTTTACAGGTGGCCCTACAGCCGCAGTTATTGCGTTCCACAATCCTAACATGATAGTCAACGTTGTGGATCTCAATGAAGAGCGCATAGCGGCTTGGAAATCGCCCCATCTACCGGTTCATGAACATGGACTCCCAAAAATCGTACGCATTTCTCGCGACGGTACGAAGGAAGTATCAGTATTCTCGCCCAATAGTAGTGAACCCGTCGTGGTACCAGCCCGCAGGCCAAACCTCTTTTTTTCGACGAACGTCAATTCATCTATCGCGGAGGCGGATATCATTTTCATTTGCGTCAATACCCCTACGAAGATGTATGGGCTGGGTGCTGGTGCGACTGCCGACCTAGGTACTCTAGAGCTCGCCACACGTTCAGTTGCCCAGCATGCGAAGGCTGGTGCCATTGTGGTCGAGAAAAGCACTGTGCCATGCGGTACAGCTAGGATGATATCCGATATTGTGAGTTATGTTTCATTAACTAATGCTGTGCGTGTAACTGATTGCAAATTTTAGCTTGGCCAGGTGCGCCCAGAAATGAGTTTTGAGGTGCTATCCAACCCTGAGTTTCTTGCTGAGGGTAGTGCAGTCAATAATCTGATGAATCCAGACCGTGTCTTGATTGGCAGTGACAAATCTGCTAAGGGATTGCGCGCCGCAGAAGCATTGAAGGCTGTCTATGGAGCTTGGGTTCCCCACAAACGAATTTTAACTGTTAATACTTTCAGCAGCGAGCTGACAAAGTTGATTGCAAATGCCATGCTCGCTCAACGCATCAGCAGCATTAACGCCGTCAGCGCTCTCTGCGAAGAGCTCGGCGCGGATGTCGAGGAGGTCAGTCGTGCTCTTGGAGCCGACTCGCGTCTTGGCCCGAAGTTTTTACAGTCCGGAGTTGGCTTTGGGGGCTCTTGCTTCGAGAAGGACATTCTAAATTTGTCTTGGCTGGCATCATCTCTGAATCTGCCGGAAGTCGCGCGTTATTGGACGGAGATCTTGACCATCAATCATTACCAGCGGGAGAGGTTCACCCGGACGGTATCTCGCAAGCTCAATAACACTTTGCGCGGGAAAAAAATTGCCATATTCGGCTTTGCATTCAAAGAGGGTACGAACGATACCCGGAACAGCGTCGCTGTTCATCTGATTGCTGAAATGGCTGCGGAGCTTCCACAGGAGATTGCAGTATATGACCCTGGTTGTGCCGTCGAGGAAGTTGAAGAGGAGATACAGCGCGTGCTAGGTCACAAATATTTGCACATGGCTCGAGTGAAGGTCCGATCGAGCTGGCTTGAGACCGTTGAAGGTGCCTCGGCTGTTTGTATCTTGACTCCATGGGCTCAGTTTCGTGGCCAGCTGCTCAACACCGTTGGCTCGTCTAGCAAAGACAAACCTGCGCACCCTACCAGAGACAATCTCCACGAAGGCCCTGGAATTTCTATCTCAGCTACAGGTGAAGGCGCTTTAAGTGAGATGGATATAATCACGCTAGAGGCTATGAATGAGAGCCTAGACGAAGTGGCTTCGGATGATCCTTTGAGGCGCTTTCTTCCACAGCCTGTGTGCCTTCAAGGCTGCAAGGCCTGCGCTACTACTTCTCTTGAAAACAGGGTCGAAGAACTGGTCGATTGGAACTTGGTATTCAAAGTCATGAAACAGCCCAGCTGGGTGTTTGATGGCCGCAATATTGTAAATTCGGCTCTACTTCAGGGAATGGGTTTCAAGGTCCACAGCATTGGTAAATGTTTCTAGATAGCGGCGGCTAATTTCTAGGCTGTGTCTTAGTTCGTTTGTCTTGCAAAAATATGTATTTTATTTAACAATTGCCTTGATTAGGACTGTCTACTGCGCTATTACATAAAGACCGTATCAAGAGAAGGTATATCTTCCCGCCTTCCAGATTATTGCTCTCCAGCCTGTCCGCTCCAGTTCCTCTGCCAGGTCCTTGACACCTTTGTTCTTGGCTCGCGTCGCCCCGTACGTCTTTCACAGCTAGCTTAACGGTAAAGTTGATCGACCAGATTGGTAACAAAAAGTTCCTGAACGCAATTTAGCAACACAACTAGATAGAAATCTGTATACAAAAGACGGCATTGTTTTCCCTACTATTTTAAAGAAGTTATTCTATGTAAAAAATCAGATTAGTTCGATCAAACAGAGGACAGGGACTTATACTCGCGAATTAGAGGTATCCGTTTTATATGTATAGATGGCCGTTGTATGTTATGCCCTTCAGGCATTATCTCGACCGTTTTACAGCAATTTCTAGATTTCATTGCACCTGCTAAGACACATCTCACTTCAGTTTCCGTACGGTTTGGTGGAGGGGCTTACTCGGGTAAGCCATCTTTATGTCAGACGTTGCTGACCGTGAATGTCGCCTTGGTTAGTATAAAAAGTTATAGGGGGGCATCGCAAATAGACAACAACACTTCACGACGACAAATCGGGTTATAACTGAGGCAGGTGGCGTACTTCTGATTTTTTTTTCTGGGCTGTTAGGATTGGTCAATCCATGGAGACGGCGTTTCTAGACCGCTAGTAATCTGCGGTTCTGATCGAATAGAGCCATGACGTCTTCCCAGGTGCGCAGCTGTAAATCATAATTTTGCATATTGACAGGGCTAGAATAATAGGTTTCAAGATAGCCTCTTTTAAAAGAGCTCTTACCATGTATAAAACTTCAGAATTATGAAAATGGAACTAACGTTTTTTGAAGCATACAGACAATCTTAACTCATTTCGCAAGATATCCACCCGCAGAGACCCCCCCTTCCTTCTCTTCCCCCAATTCAAACGCATCGTCATATCGGGGTTTTGCTTATAGAGCCATTCCGCCCGTTGCCTAAGTTCTCGTTGATTCCGTCCTCGCTGTTTCGGCCACCGTCTGGCACATTCCCCTTTATTTCGGTGTTCAGCCGCACGCCGTCTTTTCTTCCATGTTTTTGTGTTTTTTGTTTTTGTTCGATGTCTTCGGCTTCCAATCTAGCCCACTTTGCATCATAAGGCTCTTCACCTTTCCCGCGCTGGTGCATGCCCTGTTGCAACCTACCAGAAATGTCTGTGCCCCCAGTACTCTCTAATTTCGTACGGAAGAGAAGACTGATAAAAATAGCGCTACCAACGAAAAAAGTGAGAACAAACCGGTACGTAGCGTACCAACCCGGTACCCAACCCCGCGATGCCGCTTGGCTGTCTGCAAGGTACAAAAACGTGAATGCACAAAGTTGTCCGATAAGACCAAACTGGACAGGCAATAGTAATGTCGGCCAGGCCAATGCGGGAGCTACCACACCGATACCATACCTAAATTTAGTGCGCCCTGGTGAATTATGTTTTTCTGCAAATTCCATGCCCTTAAGAGCAAAGTATTAGTTAATGCAGCAGAAACGAGTTGAAATTTGGCTCACCCAATGTATGGCTCCCAAGAAAGAAATAATCAATGCACCATAACCTAGTTGTACTGGTTCAAGTGCCTGTAGCCAATAATGTGCTGTATCTTGATGTATCAAAAACACGTCTGATGTTTTATCTAATTGTGAAGCCCAACTAAGATAAATGGTCGATAGTGACGTAGCAAAGTACGGAAGGGTGCCGGCGATACCAACAATGAACGGCTCTGGGGGCACGCTTTTGAGTGCCAGTGTTTCGCTGATGGCATTCTGGGTCATAGTTTATTAGCGGATTCTCAGAAAAAGCATGTGTTGTTGCCGCAAACCCGCGTACCATTTCACTCCTGATGCTACCTAGAGTAGGAGGGTCCTCTTTTCGGGGCTCATGCTGCCTAAGCAGTTCCGAGGACACTTGAACTGCAGCTTCAACCGTTTGCTCAGAAGTCTTTTTCTTTATATCTTCCCTGGTTTTCGATGGTATTGCAATATTGGCTGGCTTGTTTGTGAAACTTGATTGCCACGTCACAGAAGGAGGCAACCCTGGACACTGGCCACGCTGCGAAGGAAGGGTTGCTCTACTCCTCTGAAAATTAGGCCTCCTGGACCAAGCAGTAGTGCTCAGATGATAATCTTGCCTATGTGCTAAAGCCACATTACTGGTTTGATTATTGTTCAAGGCGGGGAGTTTGGCAGAATATGTAAAGAGAATTCGAGAAGACCGGTTCATCATCAATTGTTGCAGAGAATTTTGGAGTTTTTTGAACTTGAGAAGCTACCTTTAAGTAGGAGAGACGTCTCTAAAGACACAACCGAGATCCTGTTAGTAAATACTATGATATCATAAAAGCAGTTCGTCATCATTTTAATGTTAGTCTTTCGTAAAAGCTTTTGAATGTGACGTAATTAGAATCTGTGCCCCTCTGCGCCAGCTTGGCGCTAGTATACACCTGTCCTGTCGCTGCCCAAAGGTGGAGGGAGAGCTCCACGATTTGATTCGGCAGGTTTGTTATCTTTTATCGCCATGCTGATCATCTGGTGGTCAGCAACTTCCGCCGCGCTGGTTTCTCTTTACGATTTTACAATCGTCACAACTCGTTTTCAACAACCTCTCATGTCAGTGCTGCCCGACCTCAATACCGTATCCTGTCCATACGACTGAGACAATGCAAAAAAACACTCCATTGTTTGACACACCTTTTAACGACTGGACGGCTTTTTGCGGACGCGATAGAACACCGTCGAAATGTTGGAGGGTCTGGTTGCAGGGTTGCTTAACCGCTTCCTAGGCTTGTACGTCAAAAACTTTGATCCAACTCAGCTCAAGGTTGGAATCTGGTCTGGCGATGTTAAGCTCCGTGATCTTGAGCTCCGAAGGGAGGCTCTCGACCAGCTCAAGCTGCCTATCAATGTCGTCGAGGGACATCTTGGTCAGCTTACCCTTACTATTCCCTGGTCCAACCTTAGTGGCGCACCCGTGAAAATATACATTGAAGATGTTTTTCTTCTTGCGTCCCCAAAGGAGGAGGCACAATACGACGAGGAGGAAGAGGACCGCCGAAAACAACGTTTGAAGATGGAAAAGTTGGAGTCTGCCGAGCTCCTGAAGGAGAGGTCTCAAGAGGGCCTAAGCACAGAAGAGCAGAAGAAGAGCCAAAGTTTCACTCAGAGCCTGGTGACCAAAGTTGTCGATAATTTGCAAGTGGAAGTCAAAAACATACACATCCGATACGAAGATTCTATCTCAGCTCCCGGTCATCCCTTCGCCCTTGGCGTGACATTGCAAGAGTTCAGCGCCGTCAGCACAGACGAGGGCTGGCGCCCAGCCTTCATCCAAACTGTCGTCAAGTCCACAAACAAGCTGGTCACGCTTGGCGCTCTTGCGATATACTGGAACACTGATACTGAGCTGCTAGGCACAGGCCGAGAGGCCGTTGTGACGACTTCGGAAAAAATCATTCTTGAAGAAATTCTCGACAAATTCAAAAAGATGATACCAAAGGCTGAAAGCACGGAACTGGTTTTGGATGGTGGAGCAGCGGACGACTCCACGATTATGGCGTCAGGTCCGGAAGCAGTCCACCAATTCATTTTGCGGCCCGTGAGTGGACAGGCCAAGGTCGAACTCGACAAAACCGATGACGTGCAAGCACCAAACTTCAAAGCAAACCTCATATTTGATGAAATTGGCGTCGTCCTTGATGACCACCAATACCGCGATGCTCTGATGATGGTAGACCTCTTCCACTACTTTACCCGCCACCAGGAGTACAAGAAATATCATCCAAAGGGTGTCCGGCCCTTGGAAGACCCCAGAGCGTGGTTCAGATTTGCGGGTAATGCAGTTCTTGGTAAGATCCATGAGCGCAACAGGCGTTGGACTTGGGGCTACTTTAGGCAACGGCGAGACGATCGCCGGCGGTATATCCACTTGTTCAGGAAAAAGAAGCAGAACCAGACGCTTACTCCCGACGAGACCGATGACATGACGAAACTGGAGCGGGAACTCGGGTACGAAGACTTACGTTTTTGGCGATCTCTGGCACGAAACCAGATGAAAAAGGAAAATGCTGTCGCTATGAGAAACCAGTCGAAATCACATACCCAGGGACAACAACAGCAGCAACAGGGATGGATCTCATGGATGTGGGGATCCAAACCCGCAGATCAAACTTCAGACGAGACCGAGAATACACAGATAACCGAACAACAACGCCAGGAGCTGTATGAGGCGATCGAATGGGACGAGAAGACTGCCCTCGCTGCTGATATTGACATTCCTAGAGATGCTATCAAGCTACAGATCGAAGCATCGCTCAGCACCGGAAGCTTTACGCTGAGACAAAGCCCCCACAAAGACAATGTCAGAGATCTTCTGAGCTTGCATTTCGATGTTTTCTGTGCCAAAACTCTCCAACGATCAGATTCCCTACTTCTTCATATTAGCCTCGGTGGATTACGGCTGAACGATGGTACAACGCCAGACAGTCTTTTCACAGAGATTGTGCGTGTCAAAGATGCCCCAGGAACCTCTAAGAAAAGGCGATTGTCGGTAACTGAACTCGAGCTCGTAACGGTTGCCGAGGAAGAATCATTTTTCCAATTTCAGGTCGAACAGAACCCACTAGATGGACAGGGTGACGTTGCAGTCACGGCTAAGCTGAAGCCTTTGGAGATTGTTTGGAATCCGAACCTTGTCGTCGGCGTTTGGGAGTTTTTCAAACCGCCAGAACGTCACATGGAATCAATTACGGCTTTGATGGAGACAGCCGGTGCTACAGTCGAGGGCTTCAGGGAGCAGACCCGGGCGGGTCTTGAATTTGCTCTTGAAGAGCACAAGACAATCAATGCCAAGCTGGACCTTCAAGCCCCATTGATCATTATTCCCCAGAGCATCACCACACGCGAATCTACATGCCTCATTCTCGACGCCGGTCATATCAGTGTGAACAGCGAACTTGCCGACATAGCCACCACCAAGGAAATCCAATCCAAGCAGAGCCAGGCATACACTGATGCCGACTTCAAACGCCTGGAATCACTCATGTATGACCGTTTTATTGTGAAATTGACGTCAACCCAACTCTTGATTGGGCCGTCCATCGAAGAAACGAAGGCCCAACTGGTCACAAGAGATGATGCCATGCGTCTGCACATTGTGGACAAAATCAATGTTGACTTTATTGTCGAGACTTCCATACTTCCAAGGGCCCCGAATCTGACGAGAGTGAAGATGTCTGGCCGCATGCCTATGCTTCATGCCTCAGTATCGGACACCAAATACAAGAGTTTGATAAAAATTATAGATGTGGCTATTCCAAAATTCGACGCTGAATTCCCAGAGCCAGAAGAAGAAAGTCCCAGAGCACCGCTTAGCCGATCACGCATTCTCAGCGAGTCTTCCACACCAAATCTCCGGAATAGCCAGCAGCCGCCATCTCAGTTACTGTCATTGAACTCGTCACAGGAACCAGCCATTGTTTTAGACGATGACGACGACGAAGATAATTTTGAAGATGCTCACAGCGGCGGGTCCATCAGTGAGCAGCTCAAGTTACAGCAAAGGATGTTTCAATTCACTTTCTCAGTCGACAAGCTTCGCGGATCACTTTTCCGAAGCGACCCGGACAATGAACAGCCAGACTCGTTGCTGGTCGAGCTCGTTGCTCAAGATTTCAACCTCGACTTTTATCTGAGGCCCTTTGATATAGCGGCTGAAGTATCCCTCGGGTCTGTCAGTGTTGATGACTTTGTCTCAAACCCGCCGGCTGAATTCAAATCGATCGTCTCGTCTGGCGACGTCGAGGATAAGCAGCAACAACGCGCTCTTGTTCACGTCAAATTTGTGCGTGTGAAAAGAGAGTCGCCTGAATTCATGCCTGTTTACGAGGGGGTGGAGACGAATGTTAACGTTGCTATCTCTACCATCAATCTCATCGTCACCCGCAAGACGCTCTTAACGTTGTTGGATTTTATTCTCGTCACATTTGCCGATGCTGGCAATAGTGACAGCGCAAAAATCCACGACTCGCCGAGAGACACAAAGCCAAGGACGTCTGTATTGTTGGTAGCGGTCGGTGAGGATGGAGGGAATGAAGCCACTTTGAACACCTTTGAAGAACAGCGAGGTTCGGAAGGCAGTGCTATTCGGGTAAAAGTGGATCTGAAAACTATCCGCCTCATCCTGAACAACGACGGTGTCCGGCTAGCAACGCTGTCGTTCAACCATGCCGATGTAGGGTTGTTTCTTCTTGGTCCCGCTCTGCGTCTGTCTACAAAACTTGGCAACTTGACCTTGACTGACGATGTCAATCTTGGGTTGCCCGAGTCCTCCGAACTTCGCAAGCTAATCACCATCGAGGGTGACGACTTGGCCGACTTCCGCTATGAAACATTTGATGTGGCGAATGCGAAGACGTATCCTGGCTTTGACTCGTCCATATTTCTCCGTGCTGGTTCTGTCAAAGTTAATTTCAAGGAGGAATCTTTCCGAAAAATCATCAACTTCCTTGTCAAGTTCGGCAAGATGCAGGCTGTCTACAACGCAGCACGACAAGCTGCCACCAACCAGGCTACAAATTTGCAACAAAGTCAGAGTCGTTTCAAATTTGATGTCGTCATCAAGACGCCGATTGTCATGTTCCCCCGGGTCGTCCTTCCTGGTCGCGCAAAGCGTGATCTCTTGACCGCATATTTGGGCGAAATCTACGCACAGAACAGTTTTGCGCCTCTTGACGGCTCTCACGAGCCTACGACCGCCATGAAACTGTCTGCCGGTATTCGTAATATTCGCTTGACCTCACTCCTTCATTATCCCGGAGACAAATCTGAAGAACTCCAGCTTATCGATCACGTGGACCTAGCCTTTCAAGTCACACATGCAGAACACAGTCCCGGTGCGAAGCGCCCTGATACTGAAATTGTCGGACACATGACAGACCTCAACCTCAGGATCACTCAGTGCCAGCTGCGCTTTCTGCTTGAGATATCCAAGACCGTCCCGGCTGCTTTCACTTCTGATGGAGATCAGCAACGGGTCAACGAGGAATTGGAGCTTGACATTGACGACCGTACCCTTCAGCGAGCTCGGTCCGGCTTTAATTTCCAAGCTGGCCATGAGGAAGACGAATCGCGCATTGTTGATCTCGGCCCCGAGCTCGGGTCGCACTCAGATACGTGGACAAAAGTTGATCTCGTTTTCAAAATAGGAAGCATCGGTCTCGAGTTGATCAATGGCATGGATGACCAGCCTGTTGAAAGTTCAGACAATGCCAGTCTCTCTCGATTTTCCCTAGATCGCAGTCAATTGAAGCTCAGAGCGCAAGCGAACGGTTCCTTGGAGGCCGAGTTGGCCATCGATTCTTTCACCATCCACGACAGCAGGCGTGGTGAGGCAAACAAGTACCGTCGAATAATGTCATCTTCCAACAAAAACGGGCAGCAGTTTATGGCCGGCTTCACCATGTCCGGAGGAATCGAACAAAACATCATTGCCCTCGTTGCTATCGACAGCCCTAGGGTTATCTTCGCGTTGGACTACATTTTCGCTATCCAGCGGTTTATTGTTGCCGGTTTCACACCGAGACAGCCATTGTCACCGAACGATGTCCCTCTCAGCCCAATCAACGTGCTAGAAGGTTCAGACGCCGATTCTCAGCAGATGTCATTCTATGGCCTTCAGGTGCAACGGGAGCAAAGTCGGAAAAGCAGTGACATGGGCCTTCTCGGCCTTGACCAGAAACCGCAAGATCAATCTGAGCCGACGCTGAACATCTCTTTCCGTATCAATGTTGTCGATGCTCAAATCATCCTCATCGCAAACCCCCTGAGTACATCATCTGAGGCGATTGTTCTCGGTACGAAACAAGTTTTGCTCTCACAGCAGCATGTCACCACCTTTCAATTGTCTCAGGTTGGTATGTATCTCTGCCGCATGGACCATTTTGAAGACTCTCGACTACGAATCATCGACGACTATTCTGTCCAATTGTCTATAGATGGCTCAAAGCCCAATTTTCTGGCTATCAGTGTGGATGTTGAGCCTTTGGTACTTCGGCTTTCGTTGCGGGATATTTTGCTAGTACTGCAGATCATCAGAAGAGCATCTGAGTTATCTCAAGGCAGTCAAAAAGAGGAGCTCAAACCGTCAGCGGCTGATAAAAAGGCAAAGCAACTTCGCCAGCCCGGGACAAAGCAGCGCATTGCTAGCGGCCGGATCCCTCCAACATTGCCTAATCAATCAACGCCATTGCAAACGGCAAGTGCAGAAACTCCACAGAGAGCAATTGGTTCAGGCGCTCAGATGCCGCGTTCTGGACAGACTTCTTCGAGAGAGTGTTCCATATTGAAAGATGGCCAAGAGCAGAAAGAACACGAAGAACTCACAGCAACTGTCGACGGGATCCGCATCATCTTGATTGGTGATCTTCATGAATTGCCCATTTTGGACATGAGCATCAAGAAATTTTCCATGATCGCAGAAGATTGGTCGAGCTGTCTAGGAGCAAATACTTCCATCGAAATGTATACGAACGTGTACAACTTCTCAAAGTCTGCATGGGAGCCCCTCATCGAGCCATGGCAGGTAGCAGTCGGTGTACGTCGCGATAGGGACACTGGTCTGCTGGCTATCGATGTCACATCCAGACGCACCTTTGATGTGACTATTACGACTGCAGCAATTGCTTTGGCTTCAAAGTCATTCGATTTTCTCACCCAGAACCAGGATGTTCTCAGCAAGCCCCGTGGAGAAGACGCGCCATATCGAATTCGAAACTACACAGGATTCGGTGTCGTTGTCACATCCAGAAACCAATCATCCAACGAAAATATACAAGTCCGCCTTGAAGACAGTGAAGAGGCTCCATGGTCATTTGAGCAGTGGGAAAAGATGCGTGAGAATTTGGTTTCGGAGTCTCAATCTGCGAGCGTTCAGATCCTTTTGGAAAGCTCTGGATTTGATGCAGTCAAGAATATCCATCTCAGTCGCGAAGGAGAGTTCCTGTTTAGTCTTCAGCCCAAAAGCAACCAGGTACTACACCGCCTTCTTGTTGATGTCAGGTTGGGTCATGACAATGTCAAATATGTCACACTTCGAAGCCCGTTGCTCGTGGAAAATGACACGCAGATACCTATCGAGATTGGTGTGTACGATGCTCGTGATGGGCATCTTCTCAAGATAGAAAAGATTGCCCCAGGCGAAGCAAGACCAGCGCCGGTAGGGGCTGTCTATCTCAAGAGCCTCATTGTACGCCCAGACTCTGGATTTGGATATGACTGGTCCAGCGACACACTCTGGTGGCGTGATCTCCTCAAACAGCCAACAAAGACGATGGTTTGCAAGGGCGACCACAGCGAGTCATTTTTCTTCCAGGTCAACGCCAACTTTGAAAGGGACAATCCTCTTGTGCAAAGTTATCCCTACATGAAGATAAAATTATCTGCGCCTGTGGTTTTGGAGAATTTGCTGCCCTACGATTTCAAGTACCGCATCTACGACAAGAACACAAAGCGAGACTGGACGAACTTCTTGCGGAAGGGCGGTGTTAGTCCTGTCCATGTCACTGAGCTATCCCACTTACTTCTCCTCAGCGTGGACATGCAGGACACGTCATTCAAACCCAGTGAATTCGCTATCATCAATTCAGGAACGTCTGGGGACTTTGCCAAGGAAACATCGCTCGTTTGCAAAGACGATGCTGGCCTCAACCTTCATCTTCGGCTTTATTACCATCGCATTTTAGGTGCTGGCGGTGCATTCAAGGTGACAGTGTATAGCCCTTATGTCATCTTGAACAAAACGGGCGTGGACTTGGATGTGCGCTCCAAAGGCTTCATGCAACAGGCCAAATCCGCAGCAGGTCAGATCCTTGCAGAGACGACAAGAAACAGTCGAACTTCAGTCGAGCGTCCAAAAGTTGTGCCATTCATGTTCTCCTATTCCAATGATGACCACCATAACAGGGCATTGCTCAAAGTCGGCGACTCTGAGTGGAGCAAACCCCAGAGTTTTGATGCTATCGGAAGCTTTTCCGAGGTTGTTTTGCAGTCAACACAAGCGCGTTCCACGGAAATTCATATTGGCATTTCTGTCGAGCAGGGCGAAGGAAAATACAAAATGACAAAAATTGTGACCCTTGCGCCTCGATTTGTCATTCAGAACAATCTGGATGAAAGCATCAACATTCGCGAGCCAAGCTCATCGACCGTCATGCCGATAAACGCGGGGGCTCTCCAACCATTGCACTTCTTGCAAAAGAGTGCCACCAAGCAGCTTTCCTTGTGCTACGCGGATTTCGGCAGCCAGTGGTCATCACCGTTCAATATTTCCGATATTGGGACGACATTCATCAAAATGGCTAAGCCAGGTCAGCGTCAGCTCCTTGTTCGCGCAGACATTCTCATGGAGGGCGCCACAATATTCCTGAACTTCAGCATCGAAGCCAAGAACTGGCCGTTTTCCATGCGCAACGAAAGCGACAGTGATTTTACGTTCTACCAGGCAAACCCGAACGTGGATGAGGACGGCGTTGAGGACGTGTCTGGATGGCGACCGATCCGCTACCGCCTGCCTCCGCGAAGCATCATGCCGTATGCGTGGGACTTCCCGGCAGCGAAATACCGCGAAGTCGTTATCAACACGACCGGGAAGGAAAGACACGTCAAGCTCGCCGAAATTGGAAATCAGCTGCCCATGAAAGTTGTGCCTATCTCGGGGCAGACGAAGATCATTGATATAAATGTAACAGCTGATGGTCCGACGCAAACTTTGATTTTGTCTAATTATCGGCCGTCCATGAGCCTGTACCGTCAGCGCAGTCAACTATCCACAACGAGCACTTCTGGCAGCACCAGTGGTAGTGGAGAGCGCAGCAGAACAAGTTTTGAAGCCAAAGAACAAGACACGGACATAAATTTTCGGGCTCAACTTCGACTGGCCGGAATTGGTGTGTCTCTGATCAACTCTCAGCTGAAAGAGCTTGCTTACGTCACCCTGCGAGATGTGCAATTGAAGTACCAAGACTCTCTGCTGTACCAGACAATCACCATGGCAGTCAAATGGATACAGGTGGACAACCAGCTCTATGGTGGAATATTTCCGATGATACTCTATCCCAGTGTGGTAACTAAGCGTGCCCAAGACATTGATTCTCATCCGTCTCTTCACCTCATGATCACACGCGTCAAGGACGACTCGTATGGCGTCGAATATATCAAATACGCCACCGTTCTTCTTCAGGAGATGACTCTGGAACTGGATGAAGATTTTGTGTTTGCCGTCCTGGATTTCTCCAAGTTGCCCGGAGAATCGTGGGCATCTGAGGGAGATCACGGGCAGCTTTGTGACGATAGCATTGGAATACCAAAGCTGAAAATGCAACAGTCAGGCAAGGAGCTATACTTCGAGCTGCTAAATTTGCAGCCGATGCAACTGAACATATCATTTGTGCGCACTGAACGCGTCAACGCTGAAGACAAGTCATCATCACGAAACCCGTTGATGTTCTTCTTCAACATCCTCACAATGGCTATTGGCAATGTCAACGATGCGCCAGTGCGGCTCAATGCGCTCATACTTGAGAATGTGCGCGTTTCTATTCCTGTGTTGACACAAAATATCTCCAGCCATTACAGCCAGGAAACACTGTATCAAATCCACAAGATTTTGGGCTCAGCCGACTTTCTCGGCAATCCAGTTGGCCTGTTCAACAACATCTCGTCTGGTATAACTGATATATTCTACGAACCATATCAGGGTCTTATCATGTCTGATCGTCCTGAAGAACTGGGTCTTGGGTTGGCCCGTGGTGCTGCATCATTTGTCAAAAAGTCCGTTTATGGTGTCAGCGACTCTGTCTCCAAATTCACAGGAGCTATGTCCAAAGGATTGGCTGCAGCGACATTAGACAAGCAATTTCAGGACCGACGGCGCATCACAAGGGCACGCAATCGCCCCAAACATGCGCTGTATGGCGTGACAGCGGGTGCCAATTCATTCATCACATCTGTGGCTTCTGGGGTAGGAGGTTTGGCAAGAAAGCCCTTAGAGGGGGCCGAGCAAGAAGGAGCGCTTGGCTTTTTTAAGGGTATTGGCAAAGGCGTCATAGGTGTGGCGACAAAGCCTGTTATCGGGGTCCTCGACCTAGCAAGCAATGTGTCGGAAGGCATCCGCAACACTACGACCGTGTTTGACGGTTCAGAGCTGGACCGAGTTCGTCTAACACGGTTTATACCAGCAGATGGAATTGTCCGTCCCTACAGCCAGAGGGAGGCTTTAGGACAGTTCTGGCTGAAGCAGGTGGACAACGGGAGGTACTTCGACGAGATATACATTGGGCATCTGGATCTGCCACAAGAGGACATGGTGGTCATGGTGACATATGCACGGATCTTGCTTAACCGGTCTCGGCGACTGACAACGGAATGGGACGCCCCTCTAAGGGATATCCAGGGCATCTCCAAGGAGCGCACAGGAATCAGCATCACTCTGCGGGGAAATATGAACGGGCCTTTTGTCCCCGTGGTGGAAGAAAGCGGAAGGACATTCTTGTACAGGATGGTGACTGTGGCTGTGGAGGAATTCAACAGGCGGTCAAGGGTTTTGTAATTTCTGAGTGATGTGTTTTTCTATACGGCTTTACAATCTAGCTTGATTGCTTTACCCTTGTCTAGTCGTACTTTTATTTTATAAGCTAGGATAGTACATTTTCCTTCAAAAGGAAGTTTATATAGTTCAAGTAAGGACGTTTGCAACTTAAACAGTGGTTAGATCAAAAGGTTAGTGTTGATCACTTGCTCTACCTATGTTATTGCTTGAATGCGGATATTGAACTAGGTTTCATGGTGTAGCTGGTTATCACGTCAGTCTAACACAATGAAGGTCTCCGGTTCGAGCCCGGATGAAATCAATTGTACAATTTTTACTCAACACAATTGCAAGTTTAAGACCAACCTTTTTACCGGCAACGGACCTGAAAAATATGTAGGAATATACGACTAGTGCAACGAGACACCTTAGTTGTTTCGCGGTAAGACCGTTGCTGGCGTCTCGGAAGGCGCTCGGAATAACCAGGACAAAAAAGCATCTAATAAGTCACTACGGAGTACGGAGTACAGTACTAGGAGGTGGATGGGGTATTATTCGCGCCCCTTGTCAGGTATTTTCAGGCGCGTCTTCAGATCTTTGCCACTGAAAACAATCGAGCAGTACTTCTAACGGTGGAAACGGTCGCCATTGCACGCCTGAAAGCCCCTGTCAAGTAAGGCTGCCAAAGTCGAGCGAGATTTTGCCACCGTTCAGATCTGGTGAGTGCACCTGTGGCGAGTCCGAATAATATCCCATCCACCTCGTATTCTATATTAAAACTATTCTACGGAGTATTTTCGGAGAGAAAACAGTGATGATGTGCACGAATAAGGCTGGGAGACGGCGTGGTACAGAAGCCGAATACGGAGTAACAGGATGTCATCACAGGCGGGTGGTTTCATTTTGTGCTTCCTGTTTTGATTTCTGCGCAACCGTATGGATTTAAAGCCTATTTGCTGGCGATGCAACTTCATGCATTCGTTTCGAATAGTCGAAGCCGATAGTCTATTATCCTGTAACCCTACGCAGTGCCGTCTCTGTCCGCTGAAATTCTGACATGTCAAGTTCCAGTGTACGGAGTACCTTGGCAAATGACCTCATGAATCACGTGACGGAAAATGGACCAATTATATCACCTGCCTCTGCCCTGCCAACCGCCAATCCGCATATTCGCTGCCAAAACACAAGTTTGTACGTAGTAGGAACATCGACATTGCAAAATCATTATGCCTGCTGGTCCACACTGTCGAAACTGAAACTCACGAATAAGCACGCATCGAGTCCCATAAGACAAATACACAGAATAGCAGTATGGCTGAACAGGAAGAGGACTTTAGTTCTCTGCCGTTGCCAGACCGCTTCGGCCACAAGGCACGTTCCAGCAAATCATATCTGCAACTGGTCGCGACGGAGGTGACTAGCACCGGTCAAGCTGTGATACTAACTTTGATCTATAGGCATGGAAAGTGCGCAAGCAGGTTTACGAAGACGCCACCAAGCAATTCGAGCGTACCCCTGATGAGCGCGATCCCGCGTTTCGACCGTTTCTACAAGACCCAGGACTATGGAAAGGTGCAGTGGCAGATTCTAACGTTGCGGCGCAACAAGAAGGTGTGGCCGCACTTTGTGCGTTCCTGAAGTTTGGTGGTCGCGAGGCATGCCTACGCACGAGAGGGGTCACAATAGGTCCGATTGTTGAGAAGTGTCTACCGTCGACGCGCGCAGCCATCAAGACGTCCGCGATTGAGGCGCTACTCTTGTACATCGAGCTCGACGTCGCCGACCCCGTTGTGGAAGACATGCTTCCGTCCTTGTCAGCAAAACAACCAAAGGTGATTGCCGCAACCCTTACCGCTCTTACCACCATATACCACAGTTACGGCTGCAAAGTCGTCGATCCGAAACCCTCTTTGAAAGCTTTGCCGAAAGTGTTTGGTCATGCAGATAAGAATGTCCGTGCGGAGGCTACAAAACTGGCGGTCGAGTTCTACCGGTGGCTACGCGAAGCCATGAAGCCGATGTTCTGGGGCGATTTGAAGCCGACGCAACAAGCAGAGCTTGAGGCCCAGTTCGAGGAGATCAAAAAAGCCAACGAGGCGCCAAAACAAGACCGGCTTTTGCGGTCACAGCAAGTGGCGCAGGCCAAAGCCGTTGCGTCGGGAGTTCCAGAGGACGCCGGCGATGCTGGCATAGATGACGAGCCGGCCGAGGTCGATGCATTCGATCTAGCAGAGCCACAAGACGTTCTACGCAACGTACCAGGCGACTTCCATGAAAAGCTGGCATCGTCTAAATGGAAAGAGCGCAAGGAGGCGGCGGAAGCGCTGTACGCGGTCCTCAACGTGCCCCGCATCAAGGACGGTGACTTTCACGAAATCAACCGCGGTCTGGCCAAGTGCATGAAGGACGCCAACATTGCCGTAGTGACACAAGCGGCGCAGTGTATTGAGGTCTTAGCTAAAGGCCTCCGGAAACCATACGGGAAATATCGCACGATTGTCATGCAGCCGATCCTGGAGCGACTGAAAGAAAAGAAGCAATCGGTAGCCGACGCGCTTGGGGCTGCACTAGACCAGGTATTTCTGGCAACAGATCTAACGGAATGCCTGGAAGACATCACAACGTTTTTGTCACACAAGAACCCGCAGGTCAAAGAAGGCACAATGCGGTTTCTAATTCGGTGTTTATGCGCAACGCGCAACGTCCCAAGTAAGCAGGAAATCACGACAATTGTGGACTCGGCAAAAAAGCTTCTTTCTGAGTCCAGCGAGGGACTGCGATCAGGGGGTGCCCAGATGCTAGGAACAATCATGAAAATTATCGGCGAACGTGCCATGAACCCACATATCGAGGGTCTTGATGAAATTCGCAAGACAAAAGTGAAGGAGTACTTCGACACTGCTGAGGTCAAGGCGAAGGAGAAGCCAAAGGCGCCGCCGCCAGCCCCGGCAGCAGGACGTGCGCCTGGCGGCGGACCGCCGAAGAAGGTGGTAGGTGGCGGTGGAAAGAAAGGGCCATCGCCCCTAAAGAAGCCAGTGTCGAACAGTGCCTCGGTTGCGATTCCAAAGGAAGAGCCACTGGCACTACAAGCCACGTCCCGGCCTGCTGGTGGCGGCAGCAAGCTGGGTGTACCGAAAGCTTCTGTAAAGGCCCCCCAGAAGCGGGCCTTAGCCGGCCCAGGAGTGCTATCACCTCGACACGCCGCCCCTCCGCCTGTGCAGGACGACTATGACGACGACCCGGTGGCCACAACACCGGCACTGCAGCCTCGGATAGGGCTTGGTCGAGGAGGCTTAGCGTCGCGATCATTGGCTAAGCCGTCCACCAATACTGCCGCCACGGTACCGGCACCACCCTTGTCGCCCACGCCCATGTCTGGGTTGACAGCGCTGGAGCGGGAAGAGCTGGAGGAGCTGCGGACATCCAACGACCGACTATTGCGGCAGGTGGACGATGCCCGCCATGAACGGTCAAAGCTGATGTCGGAGGTCCAGGAGCTCAAAAACCAGAACGCAGGGCTTATCGAAGATCACACACGTGACGTTTTAAGCATCAAAGCGAAGGAAACGCAGCTGGTTCGTGCACGCAGCGATGCCGAGGCGGCCGAGCAGACCAATGAGCGACTTCGTCGGGAATTAGACCGGCTGAAGCGTGCCCTCGGCAAAGCGGAGGCGGCCATGCTGAATGGGTCTGGCGGCAGTTCAAGCGGTATGGTTAGCCCCGATTTGACTCATGACGATGCCGGCATTTTTCGTGATGGGATGTATCCAAACAATGCCGGCCGCCAGCGAATGAGCTTTGCGAGCACGCTTTCCGAAGAGAAAGAGAACGGCGAGACAGCGTCCTATGCACGGAGCAAGATGAGCCCAGATCTACGCTATGCGGCGACCGGCAGTGGGACAGAGAGTGGACGTGGAAGCCCTGCACGTAGTTACCGAAGGGAATTTGGTATTGACGATGTCAGTAGCGCTTCGGGTGGTGGATACGGGACAGGGACCGGATACGGAGCCAGTTCTAGCGGCAATGGCACATCCAGCACAACCTACAACGGTAACATCGGTGGCTCCGGTGGCGCTGGTGTGGGTGGGCAGGAGAGCTGGAAGCGGGCGGCAGAGGTTACTAATCAGCTGAAGGCACGGATTGAGCAGATGAAGGTAAGCGTTTATGCAGGCTGGACGACTATGCTGATGCTAACATTCCGATGTGTAAGGCCAAACAGGGGATCAGGCGAGGGCAATGAGTCGTGGACGGCATCCTGGGATGGAGAAATCGTGAATAGAATTCGGCTGGACATGGACAGGAACCTGGAGGGCGGAGATTGGGATTATGACTGGAAAATTTACAGAGCGGGAGAGCGATGTAATGATTGTGTCTTCACATTCTCAGTCATTGCATGAATGTTGCCCGCAATGCCACAACAAATTCGTTGTCTGTATGAGTAACGAGCGAGAAGTGTGTTCTACTACATGCCGTTGGACTTTATACTCTTTACATGCCAATGCCAGCGACGCCGTTGTATGGTCTATGACCGAATCCTGCTAATGTATGGATGCGTACTCCGCATAGCATGAGGGTAACGTAAGATACATGCAGTCCTTACTGCTATACGTAGTACGGAGTAGCCTGCGGAGTAAAGCGGTGAAAGCCATTCTCGTGCTGTTGTTACAGGTATATAATTGTGGCAATATGATGACTAAGCCATAAAACTAAGCTAGCTCTACTGACAAAAATGACAATGCGAACGTCAACGTGCGACTTGGTCTCAACAGAGCTCATTTAGTACGCCTTATAATTGGCACACTTTGTTTTTCCCGTTGTAAACAAGATTGATTCTACGCAGGCCCGCTCCTTTGAAGCGACCAAGATGTCGAAGGCCGCGGCAGCCGATTACTCCAACTCTGATTCTGACTCCGACGGAGAAGACGACGCGTACCCAAGGCCCGCAACTGGCCCAGCAACCGACGAATTTGCCAGTTACCACCCGCGCAAACGGCGGCGCATAGGTCGTGACGCAAAAGAGAGCGCAGCTCTAGGGATTTTCGGGTCAGAAAGCGAAGACGAGTTCAGGCCCGATCGGCGATGGAAGCGGAAACCGCTGCGCAAAGAAGGCGTCAGCTTTGTTTCATCTGGCACACAAGAGCAGGGCAGTGATGGGGCCGAAGATGACAAAATCGAAGATGAGGATGTTGCAGAATGTGGACTTTACCAAGAATACCAAGAAAAGGAAACCACGAGAGAAGAAGTACAGGAGACAGGTAGCGACGATGACGAAGCTCGCTACGACAATCACTTTGGAGGAGTGAGCTTTGGATCACACGAAGTCCACAACTTGGGCTTTACATCCGCATCATCGAACCATGCTCCAGTTATGCCACCACGTGCGGTCCCTATACCGGAAGAGTTGGCATCGGTTACCGGCGTCAATGTGAGAAATCCACTTGGGCACGGGTTTGTACCATCCTCGGCGTTGGATCCCGTCCTGATGGAATCTGTCGCACAAAGCCAGAACGTCGGCAAGCCGAATATAAGTGCGAAACCTAGCGCATTTTCGGCAAGGGGCTTAGGAAGAAGCCGAGGTGGTGGTGGTGGGCAGGCCAGGTTCAACCCAAAATCTTTCGGCGCTCGCATGATGGCCAAGATGGGCTACGTTGAGGGGTCCGGCTTAGGTAAGGATGAGCAGGGCCGAAACATAATTATTGAGGCCAACCTGCGACCGCAAGGTGCCGGTCTTGGTGCTGTAAAGGAGAAGTCGGAAAAGGAACGTCAGGAAGAAAAGCGTCAGGCACGGTTACGGGGAGAAGCTGTGGTACAATCGGATGATGATGAAAAACCGGCCAAAGCAGCAGCACGGAAGAAGAGAGCTATGGGCCTCAGCGGCAGCGGCAGAACGACAAGTAGCGACACAGGCACACCGCGGCGCCAGAAACCCAAATACATGACAATGGAGGAAGCCAAGCGGGCAGCGCCCGGCCTAGACATACCAGACACATTCACGCCGATCCTGGACCTTACAGGCCCGGGTCGGAGGCTCCTCACGTCTTCATCTGGCCTCATGACACCGACCGCTGGTGCAATGTACGACGAAGCTGCAGCCGAAGATACGGCGGAGCGGACGAAATCACGAAAGCTTGCGCGGCGTGCCCAGGCGGACTTCATGGCCATTTTAGAAGAGTGGCAGAGCCTGCAGAACCGCAAGGCGTACGCGGAGCTGCAAGCGCAGCAGGTGCGGCAAGAACTTTCTGAGCTTACTGATAACCTATATGGCCACAAGACTATGGCAGAGGCATTCGCAAGGCTGTCTATTGTCGACGAGGTGGCTCCTTGGAAGGAAAGATGGGACCGCACGATAGCACAACTGACGGCGGCGGCAGCAGCCATGCCGATACGACCATCTGACGAAATGCGAGACGCACTGGCCCACATCAGCATTGCAGCAATCCACCCGCTGCTGAAGCAAGTGGCTGAATCGTGGGAGCCGCTGCAGGATACAGGCAAGACCTTGGCGGTGGGCCTCGCCTCGGTCCAGAGCCTCGTTAGTCGAAAGACACAAGACGAGTTGCCGCCGCAGCACTATCGCAGCAGGGCCATCGCGTCGCCATACGAGACAATGATGTACAAGATTTGGCTACCGCCAGTGTCGCGAGCGGTGCGGAGGTGGGATGTGCAGGAAACAGACAGTCTTCTAGAGCTCTACTTGACGTGGGAGCCGCAACTGCCCGGCTTTGTGCGGGCGCAGCTTCTGGAGCAGGACATTGTGCGCAAGCTAGAAGAGGCGGTGGTGAAGTGGGAGCCCAAACGCAGACGATATCAAACGCAGAACCAGAGCCTGCCACACCTGTGGCTGTTCCCATGGTTGCCCTACCTACCGTCTCGGCAGCTGGACCCCAAAAGTGCGGACGGTCTTGTAACGGAAGTCAAGCGCAAGTTCCGGCAGCTGGTGCACGTGTGGGAGTTCTACCGCGGCGTGATCCCCGGCCTGCGAGAGTGGCGCGATATGCTACGGCCGACTGCGGACAACGACCAATGGCGGCCGCTAGTCATGGCGCACGTGCTGCCAAGCATGGCGAGCTATGTGCGGGCGCAATTCCGTGTGGATCCCCGCGACCAGGCGCCGTACCTCGAGGTGATCACGGGCGAATTTCAATGGCTGGGTCTGGTGGCTGCCGAGCTGGTTGGCGAGGTTATGGTGGCGGAGGTATTCCCGATGTGGCACGAGACGTTGTATCAGTTGCTGACTACGCCGGGGCTGGCCAGTCTCGACCGGATTGCGCAGTGGCTTCAGTGGTGGGCTGACGAGGCGTTCCCGGCGCCCATACGGCAATTGTCCTCGGTGGCGGCAGAGTTCGAGCGAGGAATGGTGATGATCAATGAGGCGTTAGACCTTGGCGGCAATCCTGACCTTGTTCGGCTCGCTCTGACACCACCACAGAAAGGCCCGACGCTGCGGGTAGAAGGGCCGGCGGCGACAACTTTGCGAGACAATCGCCATCATGCGAGCCACCGGTATCGCAGTCAACAGGAACATCACCACCGCCATCATCATCGCTCCATCGGCCGTGCAGGTACATCACCAACCACTGCAGCAGTGACTTCGGTGTCGGGTGCCGGTGACCACGAGGAGATGTCAATAAGGCACTACGTCGAGGACTGGTGCGAAACAAACGACCTGCAGTTCGTGCCGGAGCGCAAGAAGGTGCACGCAGAAGGTCCGCTGTACCGTATCACAGCGCGTGGTGACGGTAAGGGCGGCGTGCTGGCGTACTTCAAGGGCCTGCGGCTGTACGTGGAAACGAAGAAGGGTCCTGTAGAGGTTCGAGTGGACCGAGAGGAAGATTGGGTGCAGCTACTATCAATGGCATAGTAGCTGGGTCCGGACTGCCGGTATTCACTGTGTGTAATGAGCGGGACGAAGGATACCGCCAGACAGACGTGATGTTAGGACGGCAGACGCGGGTTCGCGGAGAATCTCCTGCCCAAGACATCTCGGCATTTGCTGGTGCAGTTGTGTAGTCTGAGGCTGACTTGTCGTTGCGTCCTTGCTGTTGGTGAACTTGTGCATGGGCAATTCCTGTTTGTGTAAGTACTGTTTGTGTAAGTAAGCTGATATGAACACAGCCGAGTTACTTGTCTCGCCACAAAGATGAGCAATATGCGGCGAAACCATACAACGAAAGCCAAGCTCACTTGTATCTAGGTCTCTATGACTTTGACCCTTCCCGTCTCCGCAAAATAGGTTAGGCCTGTTTTGATGTTCGAAACTTCTACATTCTGGATGCTGGGCAGCCTGTCAGATAATGCATTTCCTTGCTAGATCATCAAATGGCGGTGCTGTGATGACTAAAATAGAGCTTGGTAGGTCGGCTGAAATTTGAGGTCGGCCGGGACTGGTGCTAACCCGACGGGGACCAAGTCGTCTCACTAGTGAGCAGGAATGGTGTGCAGGCCAAACCTTTGCAAGCGTCATTATCTCGAAACCCTGCCAGTACGCTCCTAGTCTCACTGCTACAATTTATGATGAGACCTTAAATAAGATATCGTAGTTATCAGCGTTGGCATAAGCACATCGTGTCTTTGCGCAGCTCGATGACCCAACCCCCTTGACGTCGGCCCTTCATGTTTGGGCGCGTCCATGGTGCATTAACCTAGCCTGGCTCAAGTTTCACTCATGGCTATTCTAAAGCTTCGACTTTTTCCCCCGATCAGACATCTCTTAACGCACCTCTTGCACATTACAGGAAGGAGAGGGGGGGGGGAGGCTTTAGGTCCCTTCCTACCTGCATTATATCTATCAAAGGCCTGCCTTCGCATCTATGGTTTATATTGCATGCCAATACTGACTGCTTACTTTATACCCAAGTGCCGCAATGATACACAGTTACGACTCGATCACCACTTAAAATGCAGTACACGTCTGCTATGTCTGCATTCGCGGCCGCATCTGCAGCGGCTATCCCCCCCCCCCTCACCCTCCCCCCCAATGCGAAACAAGAGAGATACCTGCACGTTCGGCATCTACGCATGCACTGCAAATGGGACAGGAATTCAGATCTGTAACATAGAGGGTTGTTGAGAACTTGTTCGCCCTTGCCCCAGCGGTACCTCTTGTTAAACCTGCCTTAGGACGGCTTTAAATTGCCTTTCTGCAATTTGATGTCATAAACGAACAGCAAGGTCAAGGGTGGCGATTCATATAACTTGTGCCCAACATCAGGCCAGTACACCAATAATGGCTATAATGCCATACAGATCTGCAACACGATATTCCAAGCTTAGGTAAGCTTATCTGAAGCGTTATTTGCCGTAAGCCTCTGCCAACATATGCTGACACCTTCTAAAAGTTGGAAATTCTGGGATTATATAGAAAGGATTGATGCTAAGATAAATTGTATGGCTATCATAATGTGCTGTTTTTGGCTGTTTTAGAGATGCTGCTTTCGTCTGTCTCGAATTTCGTGTTTCCCTGAAAAGGGCTTAGTACTCCGTACGGAGTATTCGATAGCTTTAGTCTGTATATAGCTGCAAGAAGTATGTTCAAGTTCTTGGCTTATTCTGGTTTCCGCATCTTGCGAACACAATGCGCCTAGCAAGCATAGCATGACATTTAAAATTTTGTGTTTTGCGTGCAGCGTTTGTATGCATTAGTTAACTGCATACAAGGCTTCTACGAAACACCCGTGTCCTCAAAACCATGCTTGCAGTGGTGGTAATCCAAACCACGAGTTCTTTTGCGCATTTGTCGACACTCAAACAAAAAAAATCCCAGTGGTTTCACCATCCTTCCTAATGTCCAGCTTCGACTGAGTGGTACATCTTTTCAACATATTAATTAGTTGCTGTTTTGGCTATTCTAACGGCTGCAAGTAGCCTAAGAGACATTGCTGAAAAGGCACATCCATGCCCCGTTTGCGGGTCTCCTAAGATGCTTAGCTCGATATGGCCGCATCAGCATCCTGTCAATGCAAGCGACACCATCGAAGACGTCGGCCTTGCATTAATACTAGGGCTATGTGAGATGCGTCGAGCACATGCCTGTGCCTACAGGTGATTCTACCTGTCCGGCAGGCTCTTGGTGGAGATAGTGCTACAGGAACACTTCCAGCGTGGGCCTGAGCTCTATGGGCCAGTTCCGCGTCACATACAGCGTAGCCAAAGCGACTGCCGTCCACCTCACTTGAGATCTCGATGAACCGGGTTAGCCAAGAAAGCCATTTCAAAATGAGCTAGTTAAGCGATGTTATGGCCACCACCGTTGCCGTTGCCATTACCGCTGCAATCGTTGCCGATCCTGTTTTTGATGTCATGCACAGCAGAAACGATCTCATACTCGCGTGCGATGGATGGGCTGTGGGGGGCACATTGCTCAAGAAAGCGAAATGCGAGCATACGCCACGTTGCGTAATTGGTGGGAACAAGCTGAGGCAGCTCAGGTACGGAAGAGGATTCGAGGGCGTGCAGCAACAAGAGCTGTCCGAAGAGTCTAGTGCGCGTGAGCGATGTGTTGCCAGAGCGCAGACATAGCGAAAGAAGTGGAGGCACCACTCACTGTGTGCATACAAAGAACTTCAGATGCAGGCAATCCATGGCCAACAGGGCGGGCTGAATCACTGTCAGCCAATCGACGGCGCATACAATGGCGTCGCGGCACTTGTCGAAGTCGTCCCTAGTCATCCAGTTGGGGTGGTGGAGGGCGCGGTGTCTAACAGGTTAGGGGAGAACCAAAATCAAGGAAGGACACCATGCATGCGTGCAATGACTTACAACAGTGGCCGCCGCAGATGGTATCGCGCGATGTAGTACCGTGCCCGCAACCACGGCACGACCAAAGCGTCTGCTGGTGTGAGGGCCAAGCTATCCGCACTCCCGTCCAAGTTGACGCTATCGGTGCGCCACTTCAAATTGTCCGGCAGCTGACTGCGCCATTGCTCAAGCTGGTGCAGCAGCTCATCCTCGAGCGCCTGTGGTGGGTAGTCGTTGCGCGTCATGGTGGTTGCGCCATCCGCGGCGGCACGGCTGGCCAGAGCGCGGCTGCGGTTGGCGAAGAGGCTGTCGCACAGACGTGTTAAGATGATGCGGTGGGCGATCTGCGACAGGAAGTGATAGTGGCAGAAAGAATCCTGCTCAGCCTCTCGAGCAGTGGCCGCCGACAGCGGCGGGGCAGCGACGACGAGCGAAGATACCACGGACGCAACGCCGGGAAACTCAACAAAGCGCGGCAGCGGCACACGGTCCTCGTATGTGAGCAGGCTAGACACGGGCAGGTCAAGCTCCTGGGTCAGGACAGCCTCGAACATAGCAGATGTCCAGAAAAGGCGCGCCTGCATGTCCATAGTCCAGTCGTCGCAGTCCTTGGGAAGGCTGTCGCTGGCATCAGGATGGCTGCACTAGGATGCGCGTGGGAGGCTTAGGATTCAAGAAGACTCACCATGCCCAGAAGCTAGTGCAGCAGACGCTTGCACGGCTCACCGAGGCCCAAAAGTCGACGGGCCGCAAAAGCTGCGAGTAGAAAAGCCTGTGCAGGTCAGCAGATGCTGCACCGCTATCCGGCCACCGCAGTGAGAGAGGAGACCAACCCTGTCAACAGGTAGTATTGGCATGCCTGGAGGCTGTTATCGCAGCCCAGGAGCCCGATGCGTTTGCGGGCCTCGTTGAAGAAGACCAAGCCGTCTTCCCAAACATCCCAGCCACCCTCGCCGAATGGTCTCGTGGCGTCTGGCGGTGGGACTATGCTAGTAGTGATGGCTGCAGCCGCGGCCGTTTCTGTGACCGTGTCGAGGCCTGTCTGTACAAGAGCCTTGCGCCCAAGAGCGCCTAGGGCCATCGTCGCCAGCACCACACAGCTCTCTATGTTAACACCAAACTCGGTTTGCAAGGCCACGGCAAGACTGTGCTGACTGAACAGGCGGCGGTCTAGGATGGGGTTGCCCAGGTTGAATGTGGCAAAGTACTTGTCGCCGAGGTCCTTGACAACGGAGACGTGAATTTGAGCTAGCCAGTTCGACTGCAGCAGCATCAGCGACGGCGATGGCAACGGTAGCGGGGGCCGGCGCTGCTCAAGCATGGTTGCGACAGCGGCGTCATATGTGAAGTCGTCACCGGCCTTGGCTGCAGCTTCCTCGAGCAGCACGCGCACGGCTGGCCAGCTCGTCAGCTGGCGGATGGGGTATTGGATGACGGGGACGTGTCGGGGCGACCGGCTGCGGAAGGGCGGCGGCGGTAGGGAGGAGGGGGACAAGATGCTGCTATTACCATCGTGGTGGTTGATATCAGAAACTTGTCCGGGGGGCGTGCCCGTCGCCGATAGCAGCTCGTATATTCCACTTGCGTGGCGGTATGGTGTTTCGTGGCAGTGGGGGCTGTAGAGGCTGCTGCTGGCTTGAGGCGATGCCAGCTCGGTAGCTGCGGTGCTGCTCGGCCGCCGAGGGGATAGCTCCGAGGGCAGCTCGCCCTCGACAAGCATGGCTGCCGATCCATTGCGGCCTTGCTTGAGCTGTTGTTGCAGCTGCTTCTGCTCTTGGTGAGTTTCTATCTTGGACTCGATGCGCTGCAGCGTGTTGAAGATCATGCCAAGAGAAACCTCATTTCTGCAGACCGTCAGGAGATGTAGCAAGGGGCACAGTCGGGATTGGGGTGTCTGGAGCTGACTTCGTAGCCTTGCGCTCGGCAAATCTGCACTCGATTCCGGCAGAGCGGCAAAGCCCGCACGGGTTGCCGCCGTCACATCGTGTCTTCTTCTGGCGACAGCTCTCGCATGCCTTCTGCCGTGTCAGCAGCCAGAAGGCGCCAAAAAGACGCGTCGGCGGCCAATACAGGGCTCGCTCACCTGGCGGGCAATGAACAGCCGCTGGCGCTTTGGCGCCGTGTGCTCGTCAATACCCGGCGTCTCTGAGCCCCAGACGGCTTGCATTATGTATTGGCGTGCGGTATGATTTTAGGGAGATGGCCAAGTTGCCCCGGTGGATCGGAGCCAAGATTACTACGAAGTACTCCGTACGGAGTAATACGGAGTATGGCTTCAAAACTACCCCGCATTAGTCAACACATCACTTGTATTATTAGACATGCATTTGACTGTTTCCGGAATCTAATGTCTCTGCATCGTACTCTGTCTTGCAAACAAACTTTGCGTCTCAGGCGATAATCCGGTTTTATTTCCATGACGCTTTCTTCCTACATATACGCATGATTCTAGTCCCATCACATCGTCTCCTACACGTCGCGTTCTACCTCATCCACCCCCGGCACGCGGTCTAACTGCTGCCCGTAATGCGCTGCAATGTTTTTGATCGTGTTCCACAGCACCTTTGTGTCAGCTTTTGACACACCTATGCGTCGCGTGCCGCGAATATGCCACCACGTCTCCGTCTTGAGGTTTTGCGACATGATAGCAGGGAGCACAACCATTTCTGTGTCCAGGTCGTCCAGCACCTGACGGTCGCCCAGGTACAGGCCGTAAGTGATATTTTTCGATATCCATTCGAAGTCCCGGTGGGCGGCAAATAGCCCCAGCGTGTCGGACGAGTTCTGAGCATAAATCTTCTGTAACCACTCCATCCCGCGTGAGAGGTTGGCGCTGTCGCACTGCCAGCCCTCCCGTGTCATACCATAGTCACGATCCTCGGGTCGCTCAATGGCCGCGATGGCGAGGATGGCCTCGAGAGGCTTGCAGACACCGACAATCGAAATGGCTTTTAGCAGGGCCTCGCGCAGCCGGCGGATAAGCTTTTGACGTGCTTGGGGCGTTTTGTATTGTGGCTGTGCGCACAAGTAGCAGTAGAGCTGGGCGGCAGCTATATCCGGGTCTGGGCCAGCAACAACGCAGGACATGGCCACAATGTACCAACGACAGGGCCCAAGGCTGGTCGTGCTCAGAGCCGCCTCAACATTACCAAAGAGCTGAGCATACCCGGGAGCAATGGTGGGTGACCGGGAGTCGGTACTGTCGGTGAGGACTTCTGTACTTGGAGCCATTTTTGAGTCTGTATTGTCGATGGTGATCAAGCACGTAGGCAATGAATCCAAGGTTTGGCACAACAGCATGCAGTTCTTTTTAGCCTTCCTTGTTTTTCCGTACCAGTCAGATGCCATTAGATTCTCCAACCCAATTGGTAATTAAAGGGCTGCCTTAGGCATCGGAGAGCGTGGGTCACTATTGGTTGTATCTACAGAGGGAAAGGAAGGTGCAAGGTAAAAGAGGACAAAGCTCAGAAAACAAACATGACGTCCCAGACTGCTTCTTGCACCACTCCTGGTTTCATGCCCTGATCGAGTTTGTGTTTGGTTTCCTGACTATTTATGTCTACGTATCTCACACTTCCATATTGCGTCAGGGGACTTGACTCTTTACCATAGTCGCGAGACTAGTTAGAGATAATGTGCGAGAATTGTTACGAACAAATTAAATGATTAAGACCATAAGACCATCGATCCACATATCCCCCTTTCCCTCAGGCATTGAGGCTGACGAGGCACTTGTTCCTCTCGTCCGAGTCTACAACCCATATGCGAACTGAAGCACCATCAGAGGCGGTTCTGGTATCAGCTGTCAGGTTCCGGCTCCGCCCTAATTTACTTCAAGGCGGATCTAAGAGCTGTCTAAGCTAAGCCCATTCCGTTCAGCCTGTGTAGTACGTACGGAGTACGTCTCGCCCTGCAGTCCCCCCGATCTTATTTCCCCGCAACGCATGCTCGGCTCGTTGTTAAACGCGAGGGCAACTGCCCCGGAATACCCGAAAGGGACGATCCGAGTAGCAGGACCACAGCATTCACAGAATGGGGAAGGATATAAGGAAGCCAGTACACGTACAAAAGCGAGCCAGACAACCCTTTTTTTCGTGTCTTGTGTCCCGTCGTTCACGTCTCTCTCCAAATGATATTTTTTCCTCGGACTATCCATTTTCCGTTCTTCATCTTTTTGTAGGGGCTGAAAATGATATCTACCAGCGACGTTGCAGAGTTCGCAGCAAAGTTGCCCCATGACAACCGCATCGAGGCCGGGTCCGTCAACATCTTGCCAGCCGATTTTCCAGTGTCAGTGCTTCCCGGAGATGCCGAGCCTGTGAAGGTTGCAGCGAATGTGGTTGCAAATATCAACGATCGTTTGACGACGGGTGACTATGACGGCCTGGCGGCTTTGTTCGCCAACCAGGGCGCGTGGCGAGACCATTTAGGCCTGTCATGGGACTTGCGAACGCTTCAAGGGCCCGCCAAAATCGCCGAATTCCTGTGGGCTAGCGGCCACGGCACCAGCCTGAAGAACGTGCGCTTGGATGAATCGGCGCCGAATCGGACGCCCGCCATTGCGGGTCTGGATCCGGACGGAAGGGTTCCGTGCGTCCTGCTGTATGTAACATTTGCAGCCAAGGTGGGAAGCGGTCGGGGTATCATCCGTATGATTCACGATGGCTCTACATGGAAAATCATCACGTTTTACACGGCGCTGAGGGAGCTGACCGGCTTCGAGGAACCTCTGGGGGACCGGCGGCCGCAGGGCGCAAGCCATGGGGGTGGTCGCAATATGCGAAATTGGGCTGAGCAGCGTGCCGATGATGAGAGTTTTGTGAACAGAGATCCGGCTGTTCTGGTAATAGGTGCGTGCTGTCCGGTCTCAACGGGCCATAGTCGCTTCTGGGGCGTGGTCCTTTTTCCGCATTGTTTGGTGGCCGCTAACGGTGTCGTGTTGTTTTGTCAGGCGCGGGACAGGGCGGGCTTACATCGGCAGCACGGTTGCGTATGCTGCAGGTACCGACGCTCGTGGTAGACCGTGAGCAGCGCGTTGGTGATAACTGGCGTGGCCGCTACCGTCAGCTGGTGCTGCATGACCCCGTCTGGTATGACCATCTGCCGTACCTGGAGTTCCCGTCCTTCTGGCCCGTGTTTACGCCCAAAGATAAGCTCGCCGATTTCTTCGAGTCGTATGTTCGCCTGCTGGAACTCAACGTATGGACTCACACCGAGGTCAAGTCGTTGCAGTACGATGCGGCCAAGAAGCGCTACGACGTCACGTTGCGGCGACAGCACGTTGGCGCCGATGGCACGACCCCTGCGACCGAGACACGAACGTTCCACCCACGTCACGTGATACAGGCTACCGGCCATTCTGGCAAGAAAAATATACCAGGAGTGCCAGGCATGGACGCGTTTGTCGGACGTCTGTGGCATAGCTCCGAGTTCCCTGGGGCAACGCCACAGCCGGAGACAACGAACAAAGCGACTACGAAGCGGCGTGCCGTGGTGGTCGGGGCCTGCAACTCTGGTCATGACATCGCGCAGGACTTTTACGAGAATGGTTACGATGTGACCATCGTGCAGCGCTCGTCCACGTACGTTGTCAGTTCCAAGGCCATCGTGAACATCGGGCTGGGTGGACTGTACTCGGAGGCGGCGCAGCGCCGCGTCCCGTGCGACGACGCGGACCTGCTGCTGTGGAGCCGACCGACGGCGCTGGCTAAGGCGGCAGATGTGCAGGTGGCGCAACGGTCAGCCGAGCACGACGCGGACTTGCTACAGAAGCTGCAGGCTGTCGGCTTCCGGCTGGACCGTGGCACCAACGGTGCCGGGCTTATGTACAAGTACTTCCAGCGCGGCGGCGGCTACTACATCGACGTCGGCGCCAGCCAGCTGGTGGTCGAGGGCAAAATCAAGATCCGGTCGGGTCAGGAGGTCACTAAAGTGCTATCCGACGGGCTGGTCCTCGCTGACGGCACGCACCTGCCGGCTGACGAAATTGTCTTTGCCACGGGCTACCAGAACATGCGTACCCAGACGAGCCTACTGTTCGGTGACGCTCTGGCAGACCGCTGTAGTGACGTGTGGGGATTTGACAGCGAGGGTGAGTTCCGCACAATGTGGCGGCGCAGCGGCCAGCCAGGCTTCTGGTTCATGGGCGGCAATTTGGCCCTCTCACGGCATTTCAGCCGCTTTCTCGCGTTGCAGATCAAGGCCCAGGAGGAGGGACTATCGGCGTATGAATAGAATTCTGAGTAAAGGGGCATGAATTGAACGTAAGGGACAAGACGCTTCAGAATGAAATGGAGCCGATTCTAGAGAGATCGACTTGGTAACAGATACAGAGTACGGAGTACGGAGTACGTCTTGATTGGGATTTAAACCGCATTAGCATAATTAGTGCTTACCTGCAACTGCATAGTTAAGCTCTGATTATGTTCCGCCCGCACACCTTGAATGGAACCCGCTCAGCTATGCCCCCGTCCTGCAGAACTCCCGGCTTTCACCAATCTCGCACACGTCAAACAAGCAGTAGGCCCGCTCGCATTCGCGAGCGTTGAGAAAAATCTGAAAAGTCTTTGAGCAGTAAACGGGCCGTTTCCGGCGATTATCTAAGCGTAATGCGGTGTTTTAATTGGCTAAAGCCGTAAACATATTCATTTTAGCAGAGATCGAGCTCCGCCTGCGTAACGTTGGCGGCCAACAACACCCCCGGCAACGTGGGTGTTAAAGGTGTACTTGGGTAGGCCAGGTAAGTTAGGCAGGCAAGGAGGTATCTTCTTAACAGGAGGAAGCAGCCGTATATTTAATAGCTAATTCTTGCCTTCTGCACTCTAAGGGAGTGCGGGAGGCACTCTTTATCGTAGGCGCACCTCTGGCGCACCAAGTGCGCAGGACAGGCGCGACCCCGTTTCTACTTGGCCCGTGCGCTAGCACGTGCTGTGGCCTGTGCGCAGACTGCGCCACGCAGCCTGCGCCACCAGCACCGCTTCTAGTTCACAATGTGCATCTAATACGCTGTGCGCATACTGCGTACGGCTTGCGCGTAGCCTACGTTAGTCCCCTTCTTAGGGCGGCGTTATATAATAATAGTTAAGTGCTATTATAAAGTCTTATAGTTAGCTATAGATTCTAAAGAAGAATAATTAAAATACTAATTTTAGCTATAATACAGCCGGTAGTAAAGATAGTAGCATAGATATATAAAGTAATTTAGCTATTAGTAAGTGCTTTACAAAGTTATTTATAGTATTTAGATTAATAATAGTATTAGGAAAAAGCAGTTTAGTATAGGAACTAAAAAACACCTAGCGTATGCTAGCTATAAGTTATAGTCTTACTAAAAGACTATAAAGCGTGCTTATAAGAAATAAGAAGACTATAAGGCAACGGCTAGCTATATATAAGCTAATTGTTAGTTAATTACTCTTACTATTTCTATATAATTATACACTATAAACTATTTATTCTAGCTTTAAAGGCGCCTCTTAGAGCTATAAACTTAAAATATACTATTAGCAAGCTATTACTTATCTACTAGCTACTTATTACTATTCTTTTTTATAAACGTTTTCCTTACTCTTTTATCCCTCTTTTTAACACTGTCTTTCTTATCTCTCTTGTTACTATTAAGCAAGCCTTTACTAGCTAGTATATAGCTACTACTAGCTATTAACTAGCTGCTTACTAGCGCACTCTTACTAAATGCTACTATACTACTACTACTAGCTACTATAACCGCTCTACTACTACTAGCTATAGCACTAGGAATAGTCTTAGCGCTACGCTAGCGCTTAGCTAAGGTTAATAACTTAGCATAGAACTATTGCTTACTAGGCGCTGCTAGAGGTAGCGGCTAAAGAAAGACTACTGCCTAGTTAATCTAGGCTAGCTTAACTAAGGCTGCTATAGTCTATAAGATCCGCTTAGGCAGCCTTTTTACTCTTATAGTATAGTAAAGCGTGCTACTATAGCTAGCTTAAATAGCTATAGCGCGCTAGGCTAGGCTAAGTACGATAAAACAAGGATTAGCCTAGGTAATAGGTTAGTAATAACTTAATAATAAAGATTAAAGGACTTGCTATTGCTTTAAAGGTAGTAGTAACTTAAGTTTACGCCTATAATAGTATGCTTACGTCTAAAGACGTTAGTAGTAAGAGCTAGGCTACCTTTGCTAACTACTATATAAGCGTTAAAGTAAGCTTTAACTTTTACTAATACTAGTAAAAAACACTAAGGAGCAATGCAGCCTATTATGCTGTCTTAAAACGTTTACGCTAAAAGCGCTACTTAGTTGCTAAAGGCTTTAACTTGTCTTTCTATAACGCACGGCTAAGTTCTTTAGTTATTACCGTTAGAGCTATTAACCTTTAAGCAATTACTGTGTAATTGCTTAGCGTTATAATAATATTATTAACTATTATCTGCTAAAGTAGCAACTTGTTTATACTAGCTAGAAATTCTTAAATGTATTAGGCTAAGCCTTTAATCTCTTTAAGAAGCTATTAGTTAGTAATTATCTACTAGTGTATATAAGTTAATGCACTTACTAGTAAGCATAATATATTATTAGCTATATAACTAACATAGCGCGTTAAGTTCTTAAGCGTAGCTATATATAAGAATTTATAGTAAACGTTTAAATAAGCCTTAAGAATATAGTTTAAATATAAAGCCTACTATAAGGTTAGCTATTACTTAGTAGACGCTATGCTAGTAAAGACTTATGCTTTTAAAAGATAGTGCGTATGCCTAAAAAAGGCGTTTTATAAGGTCTATATCTACAAAAAAACTTATTAAAACTTAAGAGTAGCTTTAGTTAAACATTATTTATAAGCGATTATTAGCTAGCCGCTATATAAAGTTATAAACTATTATATTAACCTACTATATAAGTAAGATTAAAGAAAAAAGAGCTAAAAAGGTAAAAGTAATCCTATAAGTATAAATAAATGTATCTTAAATTATAAAATATACTTACTCTTTTATACCTTAAGGCAATAAAGAAGCTATATTATTAAACGTCTAAATGCATTTTAAAAACTTACTTAACCTTACTTTAATAGCAAGGTAAGAAACGTTTAAAATTAAATAAAAAGACGTCTTAGCAGCAAACTGCCTTTACTATCTAGTAGGCGATAGTTCTATAATTAGCAAGCAATAAACAGCCGCTATTGCCTTTACCCTACCTTACTAGTAGTTAAAAGTTATAAGCCCTACGCCGCTATTTTTAGTTAGCGTATACTACACCCCTATACACTTAGTGTCTAAAGCTAGCCCCCTTGCAACACTCATTGGCGGCAACCTAAGCGTTCCCTAACTAGGATCTAAGCTGCACGCCTTTTAGAGAGTTCTAACAAATAGGACGACCCGTGCATTAGGCAGGATCCGGCGTTTACTGCCGCTATAGACTAAGCAGTACGTGTGCGCTTCCACGTTACCTAAATGCAATCGCACAAGCAAGCAGTCTGCGACCGCTTAGCGATAGCTAATAACCTAGAGCGCTTAACTCTTTTTCTTAACTCTATAAGGGGAGGTTTTTTAACGAGTAAGTAGCTGCTACGTATATACCTTTAGGCTAACAAGGGCGTTACCTAAGGAGGAGAGGGATAGTGTAAGGGTATTCTATATACGCGTCCTTACGCACTGGTTCGGCAACTAGTCGCTTACTAAGCGACGGACTTAACGAACTATCTTAACACGTTGTATAGGACTAGCATAGCTACTTAGCTGTGCTACGCCCTACTAGGGTTGCGCTACACCGTATCTTCTAGCTATGTATATATTAGCTAGCAGGCCTTTGCCTACTAGTCTCTTATAGTTTGTTAAGTTAAAGTCTTAATATAATAGTATAAAATAGTTAAGCCTTTGTAACTACGCATTGTATACTAACCCTTATAGCTTAGCTCTTTTTTCTTACTAAGTTCTTTTATAAGTGTGCGTATCTTACGCGTTTTATTTATATAAGCTACGTTAGTAACTAGCTTAGCGCTATTATCTTTTATAATAGGTATGCACATTTTATACGTCTTTTACGCTATAGCTATAGTGCTTGCTAAGTATACGTCTTTCTTTTATACTCTAGTAATAGTTATTTTAACTTATCTAAGTTTATTAAAGTAATTTAGCCGTCTTAATAGCGTATTAGCTAGGTTTATTACGCTTAGTCTATACTTAACTATAAAGTTAAAAAGGGATAGGTATATAGCCTAGGAAGCCTTACGTTTATTATACCTTAGCTAGGTTATAAAGATGCGTAAGTTATTATAGTTTAATAAGACTTTAATCGTCTCTTTACTACTATTAAGGTAGTGTTACTATTGCTTAAAGGAGTTTATAATTGCTAGTAGCTCTTAATTTAAAGTGCTATAATTTAGCTTTAGTTTTTATAGTTTTCTTAACTAAAAGGCAATTAGGTACTAAGCTCTCTTTTTATCTTATTAAAAGATAATCTTGCTAATAGCTACCTTTAAGGTATTAGTCTTTACGCGTATTGCTTGTTCTAAGTTAAAATAGCGTAGTAAAGGTGCTTTTATAAATGCCTCTCTTAGCATTGCAAAGGCTGCGCGCTCCTTGCTTCTTAGCTATACTAGTCCTAGCTTTTTTGCTATTTTTGCTGCCTTATAGTAGCTTTAATAAAAAAAATAAGATATTTAAGCAAGCTTTAATAAAGTAACAATAAAAGTTGCAAAATCTAAGAAAGACCTACACCTTCTTAAATGTTTATAGCGTTAGCTATTCTATAATCGCGCGTACTCTACACAGGTTTATTGCAAACCCTTTGCTTATAATAATAAACTCTAGGAATTTAACTTCTTACTAGTAAAATAAGCATTTATTGCTATTAATAAATAACTAAGCTTGCTAAAAACGCTTAAAGACCTAGTTTAGGTACTTTATATGCTTCTCTTTATTACGTAAGAATATAAGAATATTATTTAGGTAGATAATATAGATTATATCTACTAAACTATATAGCGCTTAGCTAATATAGTATTAAAAGGTTGCTAAGGCGTTAGTTAGCCTAAAAAGTAAGACTAGGTATTTAAAGAGACTATATCTAGTTTAAAAAGCTATTTTTTATTTATCTCTTTCTTTAATCCTTAAGCGATAATACACCTCTTTAATATTAATTTTTAATATTACCTTTATTCTTACTACGTAGTTTATAATCTTAAATATTAAGAGTAGCAAGTATTAGTTCTTTACAATAACCTTATTTAATCCTCTATAGTTAATGCATAAGC